GGACCGCTTTCTCCATGTCGGTCCTAGGTCAGGACCGCTTATCTCTCGTCGGTCCTTCTTATCATCACGTGACCTGTACTATAGTTCTTCCGTTCCGAGTGAGTCCCTGTTGTTCCCGTGATCCTGCAGTACAAATGTCCTGTCCTAGCCGCCCGATGCCCAAGTGGGTCGGTTAACTGTTATCCTGCATAACGGGTCGTAACACTTTGATTCGGCGGATTTTAGACTTAGAGAAATCAAGCATAATTATCACTAATTAATAATAGCGCCTAGTAGTTAGATTTTCAATTAGCTTTAACTTAGCGATACTATAACTATTTTTCTTCTATTTTTAAATTAATTTATTTCTCTCTCTATATAATAATTTCTCCTCTAAGTAAATATATATATGATAGGCTAAATTTCTCTATATATAAAGTAATTATAGTAATATAATTCTATAACTAAAGATTTCTAATATTACCCTTAAGAAGCTATAAATTAATCTTTAATACTATAATATTTCTCCTCTAAAAATATATTAATAAATCCTATAACATAATAGTAGTATAATAACCTTTTTTTAAGAAAAACTACTTAATAAAGAAAGTATAATAAAAATAGCTTTAATTAAAGATTACTAATTAAGCTATAAATAAAACTATTTTTCTTTCTAATAATGATATATTTTTATTTTATAATAAGATAAATTATAAACTAACTATAAAAGTAATATAAAGTATATTTAGTTGGAAGGGAAAATAATAAGATAAAATAGTTATAAATGTTCTATATAAAATATCTTAAAATAGGTTTTAACCTCTTCTAAATATCTTTAAGTAACTAATTAAAACTAAGAAGTAAGAATAAGTTAATAAGAGGTAAAGAGTAAATAGAGTAAATAGAACTAATTTAAAAATAACTAGTAATATTACTCTATTAAAAAGTAAATATAAAATAAATAGAGATAATATAAACATAGTAATAATAGAATAGTAGTTATATAGAAAGAAGAATATAAATATAACTATAGCTGTAATAATAAGCTACGTAGAGATAAGACTAAAAGAAATAAATTTATATAAAGTATTAATATAAAATAAATAAAAATATATAATTAAAAAACTAATATAAGTAATTAATATAAATAATAAGAGAAGATATAGAAAACTTAAAGTAGCTAAAAGAAATAGAAACAATATAATAAACTAAACTTAAGAAAATAATTATATTATCTAAACTATAATGTAAATATATAAGTTTATTATACTAAAAAGTAATATAAAAAGTTATATAAGTTAAATAAATAGTCGTAAAAAAGTATATTTTATATGATCTTTAGTAAATTTAAACTATATATACTAAAGTATAAAAGTAAATAATGATAGTAAATAATTAGAAGTATTCTATTTAGTAATAATAGTAGCTAATATTTATATTAAAATAATTAATATAATAATATAACTTAAGAGAAAATAGCTTAAAATTTACTACTAAAGAGGTTTAAAATATAATATCTATAAAAGTTATACTTAAGGGGTTTTTTATTCTAAAAACTTCTAAATCTTTATAAAAACCTCTAAAAACTATTAAATCTTTAAAATAACTTATACTTAAAAACCTATTCATCTTAAATATACTATATAAAACAAAACTTATTAAAAAAGTAAAAAAGAGTTTGTTATTAGAAGTATAATATTATATAATTGTTTATTAAATTATATATCTATAAGATAATTTATATATAGTAATTAAGAACAACTATATACTTAATATTAAATATAATATTTAAGAGAATTCTTTTAATTTCTTTTAAATATAATTAAATGTTATAGCTAAAAGATAATAGAAAACTAAGTATTATCTTAGCTATTAACTAAGATTAAGTAGTAATAAGAAAATAATAATTTTATAACTAAGTTTATAATCTTTACATATTATATTATAATAGATATAGAAGTAGTATTATTAATTTAAACTTAATATATCTCTGATATTTTTCGATCGCTTAAGATTATATATATTAATAATAAATCCTATTTCAAGAATAATTTCTTATCTATAGTTATTATATATTATAAAATATACTTTATTTATAGATTAGTTTTATATCTTATTTCTACTAAGTAAATTAAAAGGATAGTTTAACTTATTAAATATCTTATAATATAATAAGCTATTATAACTTTAAAAAGAAGTTAGTTAAAATAGGTTTATAAAGTTTCATAATAGATGAGAATCTTAAATTTAAAATTTATTGTTTTAATTAAAACTTTATTAATAAAGATAATACTTAATTTTAATATTAATAATATTAACTTCTATATTAAAAGATTAGATAACTTTAATAATTTTATCCTTATTATTGAAATAAAAAGATATATTATATTTAAATCTAAAAGTAGTTTAATAAACTTTAAACTTATAAGTTAACTAAATATTTTATATCTATAAATAGTTATTTAAAAAGAAATTTAAAATAATATCTAAGAACCTTTTATCAAAATTATTAAAATATAAAATATAAAGTTAAATCTTTATTAAGAATTTTAAGTTAATAATATAATATAGAAAAGAATAAATAAGGATAGATAAGTAAAATTAAAGTTTAATTAATCTTAATTTAATCTCTTTAAGATTATGAAGAGAACTTGTAATATTTCTTATGAAACTATAAGTTTAAACTTACTTCTTATAGAAATACTATATAAGATCTATATATCTAATTTAAAAACTTTTATTTTAAAACTAATTTATTTCACTTGAAAACTATTACTTTTATTTTATACTTTAAACTGTATTAATAATAACATATAGTTCTTTATAAACTACTATAAAACCTAAAAAGTAATAAAAGCTATTAAAATAACTAGTTATAAGAAAATATCTTTTAAACTAAAATCTAAATACTTAAACAAAAGAGAATAAAGAAAAGACCTATATACTTAAGAAAAACTAAAATATTAAGATACTTAAAGTCTAAAAAAGAAGAGATATCACTATAATAGTATAGATAAGGATAAATAGGATGAGTTTATAGACTATATTATTATAAATAGTAAATAAGATTTAAGTATAAGATATATATTAGTTAGGTTATAGCTTAAGTTAGGACTTTTATAGAAAAAGCTAGTCTATAGATCTAATACTACTACTACTACTAGAACCCTACTAATTAGCTAAGCAGCTAGAAGGCTATAGAGGCACGCCTAGGGGCGGATTTTAGACTTAGAGAAATTAAGCATAATTATCACTAATTAACACTGGGCTCCGCGCCAAAAGGTGGGTCTTCGGAGACCGTTGCGGGTCTCGGTGGACACCGGATGTCGGCGGATGTCGGATCGCTTATCTAATCGACAGCCGACCATGATTTAGGAAGGAAGCCCGCATGAACCGGCAACACGCCCAACTGCAGTCATCTGAAGCACACCTATTGACCGAGAACCATAGATCGGTTTTTATCTATCTTTACTCGACGTCTATTTCAACCAGAAGCCATTCAAAGAACGCAATCCCAACTTTGAAAACAACCGCTCAGCGTGTGGCAAAATTGAGTTCAATATTCGCGGCAGGCAGCAGCGTCAGTTGATAAGCCACGTGACTTTGTCATCCCATGTATGTTTGTTGTCTCTTTGATCCTTCACCGAAACTTGCCAAAATATCATATACTAAAGATTACGAGTTGTTTTTAACGCATTTCTCAAGCTTCGGACTCTGGTGCCCCAAGTATCTGGAAATTGACTTGGGAACACGTCTCCAGAATCCACACATGCCCCCGCCTTCGCTTCTCAAGATCAGGTCATTCTCAACACGGACCTTGTCAACCACTACGTCAAGATGACTGCACTCCTCGACCTCCCAGCCGAGATCCTTATCCAGATCGTCAGTCTGCTCTGTCCCCACTGTATTGTCATAAGCCGAAACTTGGGACAATGCACCTGCCAGGAAGAGCGGCCTAAAGACGGCAAGCGGTTCACCGCATCGGACCTCCTCCGTCTGGACTTGGCGAGATTATCGCGAACCTGCCGCGCTCTTCGAGACATTGCACAACCAGTGCTCTATCACAGCCCGAAGCCTGTTGTCGGCTATGAGCTTCTACTCGCGCGCACCCTCGCCAAACGACGTGACCTCGCCCACCACGTCAAGGAGCTCCACCTCGGAAGATGGAGCGTCTACGAAAAAGACGTGACGCCAGAGCTACAGGACCTTTTCAACGGGATCATCGTTGAGGTAGGCGTTTCTCCAAGTCTTTTGGGAGAAACAAGCAAGGAATGGCCCAAAGATTGGTTCCTGAATGGCGCCGAGAACAAGAATCCCTACGTGGGCTTCATCCCAGACATCACCAAAGGGAGCGATGCTAGCGAGTTCTTCAACAACCGTGTGCGCGTTGTTGATGCACTGATGGTCACCCTCGTATCTAACGTCGAGCACATCCACCTGCTCCCCCTTTCCGTTCCCAGCTTCCCGTTCTGCGCTCCGGGTTCTCTGCTGCGGTTGACAGACCTCACGTTTCAGGTGTCAAACCAGGGAGAGGGTAGCAGCATTGACTGTGTAAAGGGCATTCTTGATGCCGCGCCGGCGCTGGAGCGGATCAGGGGCCTGGGCATCAACGGCATGTCCGCGGCGGTGACGCATCGGAACCTGAAAAGCCTCGATCTCAACAATAGCGCACTTGGCGCGACGCACCTTCAAGCCATCATGAACGGGTTCCCTAAGCTAGAGGTGTTCGGGTACGAAGTCGACACGCACATTGACGTCGGAAGCCCTGACGCGCGCGACGCCATTCCGAGAGAGATTGGCGAAGCCCTACTCATCCGCAAAGACACTCTCAAGGACGTGGATCTCGACCTGGCCCGCTCGTCGATGTACAGGCACAACTCGCGACTATCACCCGAAGACGCGATGCCCAGCCTGAATGAGATGGAGATGCTGGAAGAGCTCGCGATTGACCGGGAGGCCATCTTTGTGACGAGAGACATGATGCCCGAGGCGTTGTGGGTTCAGATTGACGAGGATGGGATCGGGAACATGGTCGAGGGCGGGGAAGTAGACAATGAGATTGACGAGATGCTGCAAGCTCTGATGGACCCCGACGACAGAAGGAGGAAAAAGGACTTGATCGTTGACTTTTTGCCGCCGTCGATTCGGTCCTTCAAGCTGTACGATCGGCACGGGAAGCTGTTCCCGGATTTGATCAAACTTGCAACGGAGACGCCCGAGAAATTTCCCAACTTGAAGAAGGTCAGGTTCTGGGGCTTTAATGAGGACCAACGTATGGCTTTGAGGGGATCATTTAGAAGGGCTGGAGTGAAGTGTTTCCATGGAGGGTACTTGTAATAATACTCAGCGGCAAAGAAAATGTATCAAGACGTGTTCTCCATGACGCTGGATTGAACCCAATTACCGCGAGGCAACGCTGCGACTCAAAAGGCTGGAACGACCTGAAGATAAGATTGCCTCGGGGCTTTTCATGGTAGTCGTGAATAGCAGTTTCGACGTTGCAGATCTCGTTATTGCTTCATGCCCGTGCCTTGTTCTTGAAACATGGAATACCTGCCTGTTGTGAGCTTTCGTCATACTCCTTGATAACGCGGACTTTAATAATACTTGTAGAAGAAGCTAGTTTAACACACCTGGTAAACAAGGAGAAAATAATGTAGTAATTGAAGTTGGAACTTACATGAGTTTTCTTTACGTTATTGATCCAATGCGGACTCCCCAACGCGACTGAATAACATTTCATCGTTACTACAATAATTAAGTGAGAATTAGCATCGTTATGATAGCCATCAAATCCGGCACACAATGCTTGTTAGTGTACACACATGTCTTCTGACGTCATAGGGACTGCGGAGAATGAAGCTGGTAATAGTCGAGGGAACTTGTACTTTCTAGGTCACCCACTGAGATGTTTTCATAATGGATCATGGGCTTGGAGCATAGCTGAGAAGGTTGTGCCGTTGAATGATGTGAACACAGCACACCACGCGATTGGACGCACAACCTCTCAACTGGTTTGTGGCGTGATCAAGGTTGCGCACCCTCAACCGTAATACCTCGCAGGTTGAAGAGCTAGATTGTTCTGAGCGACACATCAAGCCGTTGCACAGGCAGCAAACATGCCACACCGACATGAGAATCTCGTTTGAGATTTCCTTTTCGCAGACAATTGAATCCCAAGCTTCACTTAGTGATTGCTTACTTCATCAATCCGTACTAGCATCACCTTGTAGTGTTGAGCTAGTGATGCACGACACCGAGACATCCGGCAAGGGACCCTCAACAAACACGTTCATCTCATCGGAACACACTCCGTCACAGGCACAGCCACCAGCCGTACACAACACGGCAGAACTACGGCAAAAGAAAAGCACAATGAATCATCGCTGAGATTGCCATGTCTCCAAATCCCAACACAAGCTGAGACACACGAGGGACCGACTGGTAGTCACACGCGGACCGGCCCAGGCCCGCCCCGAGAGGGTTGGTTGACATCTATGGAGCCAAGCAATCAAATCGATCGAGACCACCACCACACCACCCAAAAGAATTTAAGAAATGAGGCGAAGTGCGGATCATTCAAGATACAAATAAAAGCTTATTTCACAAACCTCCATCGAGCCATTCATCGTGCCCGTATTCGCAACATCCGCCCATCTGTGAAGCCAGCCAGCCACGAGACGACGTAACCACATCCGCTGAGCCACCCATCGCGAAACACAAGCGGCCGCCTTGACCACACCCAGCCTGTGTTTTGTTACTGATTTGCCCACCCTCCATTTCAGCCCTACCTGCCCGGTTTGGTCAACATTACATGAGTGCTTGCATCTGACATGTCAAAAATTGCCAATAAAACTGGGGGAAGGACGAGGACTGGGATGCTGAAAAGGTGGGAAAAGGGCCAGGCCCGGCAGTAAGACGGGGATCAAAACACCACCGCCAGAGCGCCACAATGACGCAAAGTCCACGGAACACACGCGTTGCCAAAGGAGGGCAACACCGTCGAAACAGCGAAGGCGGCACCAAGGCCCCCGACCGGCGAAAGTGCAAACGCGACCGATGAAATGTAACCCTCACCGCCGGCCATCGGTTCGCCTCCCTTTTGGCTGTGGCCGCAAACTGACAGACACGAGCGAAAGCTGGCTGCTGCACCCCCAAAGTGACTCACACGCCACATAGCCAGCCCCTCTCCCCTCCTTTCTTCCCGGAGTCCGTCCTGGCCGATTTCTGACGAAGAGGTCGGGGGAGAAATTGCAGTGAGTCCATGTGCCAAAGAGATTGCCCAACCCCTTAGCTGATGATGGGCTGGCATTAGCTCCAGCGCCGGACGGTCCTTTCCAATGGTCTGGTGATTTGCTTGTAAGGTCCGCTCGGAACTACCGGACGTCACTCCGTAGGTACCGAACGTCACGAGAGATTAGAAAGCAATCCGGTTTGCGGCTCCGTCAGATCTTGCTTTTTTTACGCTGATCATTGTAAACACATGCTGATTTAAAATAATCCAAGATCCCCATCACCTGTTTACCATCTTGCTCTTCTGTTCCCCAGGATGCACACCGTGATACCCAGTTTGACCTTCATTGATACTCGCGCCTCTTCTACATCCCACGCCTTCCGACTGACACCGCTCTCTCGTCACCTCGCCTCCCCATCCCCCTTGAATCCCTTACAAATCAAATCATACCACTAGACAGACCGCCCGCAATGTCAGCAGCAGCAGAAACGATCGCGCCAGCGCCAGCGCAACCGCCCACCGCTGATGTCACCGACACGCCCCGGAGCAGCTCGACATCGTCCGATGACGTCTCGACCCTGAAGCCCGCCGCCCAGGCATCGTGGAAGAAGAAGCATGGCGTGCAGCACGCGGCAATTAACCGCACTGCATCCCCAAAACGCTCAAAAACCTTCTGGAAGTCGTTCAAGTACCTGCTCGACCTCACGCCGAAGCAGGTGGACGACTTTATGGCGTCCTACGTCATCTACAGTCTCGACTGGGCCGACGAGCGCCAGATGATCGAGACCCTGGGCCCGGACTACCGCCAGAAGGTCGGCGACTGCTTACAGTCATACTACGGCGTGCTGAACCACTTGTGCGCGCTGGGCGACGTGGAGAAGATGTACATCCCGCCGCTGATGGACAAGAAGGCCTCCGTGCTGGACAACCAGATGCTGTACGAGGAGTCAATCGCCCGAGACATCGGCCTCAAGCCTGGCGACAAGGTCCTCGACCTCGGCTGCGGCAGGGGCCGCGTCGCGGCGCACATGGCCGTCGTCAGCGGCGCCAAGGTAACCGGTCTCAACATCGACCCGAACCAGGTCGCGCAGGCGAAGGAGTTCAATGAGCAGGTGGGCCTGGAGAACAGCTTCACGATCCAGGACATGAACGAGTTGCCCCTCCCGTTCGAGGACAACACTTTCGACGCATTCTACCAGATTCAGGCGCTGAGCCTGTGCAAAGATCTGCCGCGGCTGTTCGCCGAGCTGCGCCGCGTGTTGAAGCCCGGCGCCAAGATCTCGCTGCTGGACTGGGTTAGCCTGCCGGCGTACGACCCCACCAACGCCGAGCACGCCGAGCTGATGCGGCGGACGAAGCCCCTCATCGGCGCGGTGGGGACGCCGACCCCGCAGACTTTCGAGAAGGCGCTGACGGACGCCGGTTTCACGGTGCTCCGCTCGGACAACGCGAGTATTGACGGCGTGCAGGCGCCGCTCATTGACAAGGCGGATGTGTACTTCCGGAGTCTGCGGCAGGTCATCTTGGGGCTGGTCAAGGTGAGGCTGCTGCCGCCGCATTTCAAGACGCTCATCAACCGACTGTGTCTGGACGGGCAGGCGTTTGTAAAGATGGATACCATGAGGCTTGTGTCGACGAGCTATCGCATTATTGCTCAGAAGAACTAGACGGCGTTTTCATGATGGAGCATGGTAGTTGTCATGAGACTTTCGACTTCGTTGGAGAAATGCATCCGCTGTTGCACGGCGAGAGCATCTTTGGGCACTTTTGGTAGGATACCTCGGGTTTACTACGTTATTCCAGTTTTAGAGCACGATGTAAATAGGCATCACCGGAAATATCATAATGAATAATTTCAAGAAGGAATATTTGCAAATAACTGTGCTACGGATTCAGGACTCCTGTAGCTGCTGTTTCACGGATAGGGAACATTTCGCCGGTTCTCCTCAGCTGAAAAGTCAATTAGCATTCGGTAAAGTCGACACGTACTGCAGGCATGCTCAAGCAGCGACTTAGGAAAGAAAGCTTGCTGATGTTCTCATTTGGATTTATCTTTACGATGCCCTGGGTCCAGGCGAGTCAGTAGACAATTGACAGTTAACTCGGTCCAATCAGTATCACGAGTAACATGAGAAGCTCACTCCTCTACAACAACATGACACAGAAAGCTTCTTGAACTATGACCTACATTTGCGGGAATTTCAGTGAAGACCACGGCCCTTTCATGACTCATAATACTGATTTCAACACCAAACCCGATAAGATTATCTTCCTTGGCACAAATTCAGTCGGCAACAAGCAATTCTTATTTCTTCTCTTCTTTCTCCTGGTGAGGAGCTGCGCTGGCTGTTCATCACAAAATTATTATAGATGCATAATGAGGAAAGGCGAGGAACTTCGTTCTCCTGAGCACTTTCAATTCATGTTGCTATAAGAGCTAGTATGGGCTATAGTCATGGATGCTATCGGCACCTAAGATGTCTTTAGAGCTCGTCTTCAAATGCGACGGTGTGTATAATGGCATTGGACTCAGCTCTGCGTACTTATTTTCGAAAGTTGACAACAGATGAAAGGACGAGATTCATCTTCGAGGGTGTCACAGTGCTCAACAGTCATCGTCGCTGGGCTTAGATAAGGTACTTAGTCGTGAGCTATGTTTGTACAAGTGTTGAGAGCTCAACAGCTACCTTGAGAAAAGGTCGATGTCGATTGTCAAGCTGACACATTTGGATACCGACACAAAGTTGGGATTCTTCAGTCATGTCGTGCATTGCTCTAAATAGACGCTCAGTCTACAAATAAATGCTCCCCTACAATGGACCCTTGGCAAACTTCTATCACAAGCGGAGGCTTTGGCCTGAGAGCTGCAGTTCGTTGACAGGGAATGAAAATAGATGCCAGGGTTAAGGTAATGCCACAGCACCAGCCTCATGTAGTCTTGTGCACGTTCATTTCCAAAGACATTTCATGTTCCCCCTTAGAAGACCGTTTCGACGCTACATATCTGCGGCTTACTCGCGACAACCTAACACCAAAACTTACCCGCTAGTCACTAGGTTGCCTACGGCCTGTGTCTCTTATCGAACCATAGTGGGTTCGCAGACACTGCAGCCAAGACCACACGGCATGTGGCCGCAACGATAGAAGCGATCACTCTAATTCAGCCCGCCTGACAGGGTACAGCTCCCCAGGAGCATGTTGCATCGATCTAGAACCACGGTGTCGGGGCGAACGCGTCGGGGGTCATGTGTCGCCGACGCCTCCTCAAGAAGGTACATGATATGATAAGATTGATAAGATGAAAAAGTCCGGAGCTCATAACTCAGCCTCCTCAACCCCTTCTCTCCTTTTCTATGAAAAAAGGAGTTCGGAGAAAGGGTCGATTCATTTCGGCTGTACCGTTTGACAGGTCACGCTGCGCCAGGATTGACGCCATATTTAGTGAGACCTGGGTCCACCGTGAACTCGGACTGCGAACGTGGCCTTCAGCCCTCTTGTTCGGCGATCGAGCCGGTCGGTCATGAAGAGCCGAAGCCATGTGGGTTTTTAAGAAGTGCTGCAGAAGGAAGTGCGAAATTGCTTCGAGAATGATGCGAAGCTTGGAAGCTTGCAAGCTAAGCTGGCCCCCGGCTCCGGAGACCGGACGGGATGCAATGCCAGCTGGGAAAAGCACGATCCCTGTCATTTCCCGCTCCCTGTTTGCAGTGAGTCGTGGCTTGGCTTTTTTTTCTCTCAAAAGCGCGGATCAATCCGCCGCGGCCGTTGAATTTTGTGCGGGAATCGCTTTTCGGTTTGTGGTCCCCCGGGCGCTAGCTACCCCCCATCGGATGCAACAGTGTGGCGACCCGAGGAATAGAAATTCAAATCATGAATAATGGGGGCCCGTATGCATCGCTCGCCACTCTCCCGTTCACTGTGAGAAGAATTGTGCATCTTTGCGGCATATGGGTGAGACTGGTGAAGGAGCCGGCAATGCAACATAAGCTCCAGTCCAGACGGGCCTTAGCTCTTGTGCAACCATTCAATCCCTCCCCTAACGAGCCCAGTTTAGGAAGTTGGAATTAGCGAGGGGGCAACGGGGGGAGGGACCGGTTGTGGAGGGGGGCAGATCGATTCTTGTAGTCATGACAGAAGAGGGCTTGCGTTGTCCGTACGTAAACAATGGGGTGGGCCAGCCACAAGCCGATCCCTGTGAGCGTGTTCTCCTAGCTCCGCGCGACCGTCACTTTTTAGTTTGCTATCTTTGCTATCAGATCCCAACCGAGGGAAGAACATCAACAGAGGGGGAGGGGGGCCGCTCCGATCCGAGCCTCCTCCTGACCAAAGACAACTCGACAAGCAAGCCAACAGTTCTTCTCCCCTCGGCATCCCACAGTCCACACATCCTCGCGTTCATGGAGCAGCATGCGGCCCAGGGTTTGCGCATTGTCAAGGGAACATGGCTGCGCAACGCCGAGGCAAGGGTTCCGCATAGAAAGCCCACCAACGCCAAATTAAACGGGCTAGCGACATTTGCTAGCGTCATATCTAATCAATCAGATCATCTTATCTGATCACACCCTTCACCACATGCTCGCTCATGACTGGCCAAAGCCCCCCTTGTCCGGCCCATTCCCAAGTGCTCCATTGCAAAATTCTTCCACCTCTGCAGCGGAGAAGGGTACGCAGTAAGAAAAAAGGGACACCAAAAAGACACCCTGATCGTCGTGCTGCTGGTAGTGGTGCCCCGATGCCACCTCCCAGAAAGAAAAAAACATAGTAGAAGAGGAGAGAGGCGCACAGCAAAAGGACCGGCGTGCCCATATGTACGCTTCTCTTTTGGGCACCCATATCCGTAGCAGGCCAAGCACCGGAATCGGCCACCACATCGCTTCTTCCCTGAGCTGCAGTCCTTCTTTGGTTCGCATGTGCCCTTGTCAAGCCGGTTGATTTTTTTCTCCACGCGAGGAAAGGGAACGAAGGCGCAAAAAGTGCCAAGAGGGAAAAAGAGAGACGCCGGCTCATCTTGCCATTCCGAACCTTTTCAAGGTTGCCTTCTTCACTCCTTCCAACCTCTTTTCACTCTTCTCCTCTCTCTTCTTCCCCTCCCCTCCCCCTCCCTCTTTGCCGCTGCCCTGGTGCTGGAATCGTCCGACGGACCCCCCAGCAAGAGAGGATAAGATCTGATCTGATAAGGAATCCTACAGACAGACCGACCCAACATGGCGGTAGCTGAGAAGCAGGAGCCGCCCCCCGAGCAGACCGCTCCCTCGGTCGAGGAGCCCAAGAAGCTGACGGAGGCAGAGATGCCGGTTAGTCTTTCCCAACCGCTGCGATTGTTGTCGCTGTTTTGAGTTGAGCTGCATGCAATTGAGCTTTTGACTGCGTGCTGCGGTCGGCCCGTCCCGCAATCTCTCAACACCAAAAAAAGATCTAATCGGGCGGCATCATCGCCGCAGCATCATGTCTCATGACGCAGCTCTCAACCCCAAAACTCAAACACAACAGCCCTCATTCTCATCAACTCATACGTGACTAACGAATCAATGCGCAGTGGCACAAGCAAATATTCGTCTACTTCCGCCTGCTCTTCGCCGCCGACCCGACATGGCTCGACGTCTTCCTCATCATCTTCGCCTCTCTCACCGCCATCGCGGCGGGCGTGCCGTTCCCCCTCATGGGCGTCCTCTTCGGCCAGCTCGTTGACAACATGAACTCCGCCACCTGCGCCGCCGAGGACGGCGTCGACGCCTTCGCCTACGAGTCCGCCATCAACGACAAGGTCGTCAAGACCGTCGCCGTCGGCTGCGCCGCACTCATCCTCATCTACAGCTACATCCTCGCCTGGAGCATCATCAGCCAGCGCCTCGCCCAGCGCATGCGCACAAAGTACGTGTCTTCGCTGCTCAAGCAGCCGCCGTCCTTCTTCGACAAGCGCGCCGCCGCCGGTGAGGTCTCGAGCAGGCTGCACGGCGACATCACCGCCATCCAGTCCGGCACCTCCGAGAAGGTCGGCATCATCCTGGCGTCGCTGAGCTTCTTCGTCACGGTCTTTATCATCGCCTTCACGAAGCAGCCCAAGCTCGCCGGCATGTTGGTGTCCATGTTCCCGGCCTTCCTGTTGTCGTCCTTCCTCGGAGGCAGCTACATCACAAAGTACTCCGGCATCATGACCCAGGCCGCGGCCTCTGCGTCATCGATCGCGTCCGAGGCGCTCTCGCACGTGTCCGTTGTCCAGGCTTTCGGCGCCGGCCCGCGTCTCGAGGCCAAGTTCGCCGACCACATGATTGACGCCCGCAAGGCCGGTATCAAGAAGGCCTCCGTCGCCGCCGTGCAGGCCGGTCTTCTCTACTTCATCGCCTACGCCGGCAACGCCCTTGCCTTCTGGCAGGGTTCTATCAAAATCGCCGACTCCGTGGCTGGTCGCGGCAACGGTGCCACCTTTGGTGAGATCTACGCCGTTGTCTACCTTCTCGTTGACGGTAAGTTACTATTTCCCCCGAATATGCCGTATGAATGGCGGCAATATCCCTCTCTGTGTGTGTGGGCATCGTGCTAATTGCTCATCTCGTTTCCAGCCTGCATCATGCTTGGCTCCATCGCCCCTATCCTCCCCGTCCTCGGCGGAGCCGCAGCCGCGTACAAGCGTCTCATGGAGGACATTGAGGCTCCCTCGGAGATCGACGGCACCTCGGACGAAGGCAAGATCCTCCCCCTGAACGACCCCAAGGGCATCACCCTGCAGAACGTCACCTTCGAGTACCCCTCGCGCCCCGGCCAGCCCGTCCTCCGCAACGTCAGCGTCGACTTCCCCGCCGGCAAGTACACGGCCGTTGTCGGTCTCTCTGGCAGCGGAAAGTCCACCATCGCGGCCCTCATCGCCCGTCTCCAGGACCCCAACGCGGGCGCGATCCTCCTCAATGGCACCGACATCCGCGAGCTCAACGTCCGCAGCCTCCGCAGCTTCATCAGCTTCGTCCAGCAGGAGCCTTCCCTCCTCGACCGCTCCATTTTGGAAAACATTGCCCTTGGTCTCATCAACTCGCCCCAGGAAGCTCACCAACACCTCAAGCCCTTCCTCAACGGACACCAGCTCGCCGAGATTGCCTCCAAGGGTAAGGATGCGCTCACTTCCATCGACGGCTATGGACCCGAAGTCCGCGAGATTGTGCAACTGGTCCGCCAGGCCGCCGAGCAGGCCGATGCCGCCACCTTCATCAACCGCCTCGACGACGGCTACGGCACCATGGCCGGCCCCAGCGGTTCTCTCGTCTCTGGTGGCCAACGCCAGCGCATCGCCCTTGCCCGTGCCCTGATCCGCGACCCCAAGATCCTCGTCCTCGACGAGGCCACCTCCGCCCTTGACTCTGCCAGTGAGAAGCGCATCCAGCGCGCCGTCGAGCAGGCCGCCACCGAGAACCGCACCATCGTCTCCATTGCCCACCGTCTCTCCACTATTCGCAACGCCGACAACATCGTCGTCATGGAAGCCGGCGAGGTCGTCGAGCAGGGCAGCTACACTGAGCTCATGGCCCGCGAGGACGGCGCCTTCGCGCGCATGGCTAGACTTCAGACTCTCGGTACCACTGACCGCGCCCCCAGCGCCGGCTCTGTTTCTGGCGACTCCCTGGATGCTTCCACCCTCAAGACCGACCACGTCATTAACGAGAAGGCCGAGGTTGACGCCGACGAGCCCACCGAGAAGGCCGCCCTCAAGAAGGAGAAGAGCAGCAGCGAGGGCGAGGAGAAGAAGGAGGACGATGCCGGCGTCGGCGAGCCCAAGCCCTACAGCGCCGTCATCAAGGGCCTTGCTCACCTTGTCAAGCCCTCGTACGCCTGGTTGATCGTCGCCATGATTGCCGCCACCATCGTCGGATGTACCTTCACCGGATCTGGTCTCATCTTCGGTTTCACCGTCGGTGCTCTGAACCCCTGTGCCAGCACCTACGATCGCATCCTCTCCATGGGCCGCTTCTTCTCTGGTCTCCTCTTCGGTCTTGCCTGCATCGAGTTCTTCGCCAACTTCTTCGCCTGGTCCTGCTTCGGTGTCGTCGCCGAGAAGCTCCTCTACTCCGTCCGCGTTCTGTCCTTCCGCTCCCTCATGGACCAGGACGTCCAGTGGCACCAGTCTGAAGGCCGTAGCCCTTCTGGTCTCCTCACCATCATCACCAAGGACAGCGCCGCCATCGGTGGCTTCTCCGGTTCGACCATCGGAACCGTGTTCGCTATCTGCGTGAACGTTCTCGTGGCCGTCATCCTTTCCCACATCATCGCCTGGAAGATCGCCATCGTCTGCCTGGTCACGATCCCCATCCTCCTCGGATCTGGCTTCATGCAGCTGCGCATGTTGGCCCGCTACGAGGAGCGCCACTCCGCCGCCTTCTCGACCGCCACCTCCGTCGCCACCGAGGCCGTCCAGTCCATCAAGACCGTTGCCGCCCTCTCCCTCGAGAAGGAGGTCATGAGCTCCTACAACCGCCTGCTCCTCCCGCCCCAGAAGCAAATGGTCCGCGCCTCCGCCACCACCAACATCTTCCTGGCCATCTCCAACGTCACCGGCACCTTCGTCAACGCGCTCGCCAACTGGTGGGGATCCCAGCTCATCATGAAGGGCGAATACACCCAGACCCAGTTCCTCATCATCCTCGTCGCCATGCTCATCAGCGCCCAGCTCTGGGGCACCATGTTCGCCCTCGCCCCCGAGTTCTCCCGCGCCCGCAGCGCCATCTCCCGCATCATGAACGTCATCAACCTCGGCAAGAACGACGACCTCTCCAAGACCGGATCCCAGCCCAAGCAGGTCCTCGGCGACCCCAACACCCAGGCCGACCCCGAGGCCACCGGCGAGTCCAAGGCCAAGCTTCCGCGTCCCAACGCCGGCGGTGTCAAGGTCACCTTCAAGAACGTCTCCTTCTCCTACCCCTCGCGTCCCGACGTCAACATCCTCGACAACGTCTCCCTCACCCTCCAGCCCGGCACCTTCTGCGGCCTTGTCGGCCCCTCTGGCGCCGGCAAGTCCACCATCATGAACCTCGTCCAGCGCCTCTACTTCCCGACCGCCGGCAGCGTCCTCATCGACGGCCACGACATCGCCAACCTGCCCACCTCCTTCCGCGACACCGTCGCCATTGTCCCCCAGGACCCGACCCTTTTCGACGGCAGCGTCCGCTTCAACGTCAACCTCGGCTCCGCGCCCGACACCGACGCCACCCAGGAGGAAATCGAGGAGGCCTGTAAGCTCGCCAACATCCACGACGTCATCATGGCCCTGCCCGACGGCTACGACACCGAGTGCGGACCCTCCGCGTCCCGTCTGTCCGGTGGTCAGAGGCAGCGCCTCGCCATCGCTCGCGCGCTCGTCCGTAAGCCGCGTCTTCTCCTGCTCGACGAGTCCACCAGTGCTCTCGACGCCGCGTCCGAGGCGGCCCTCCAGGAGGGTCTTGAGCGCGCATCGCGGGGCACGACGGTGTTGGCTATTACTCACCGTCTGCACACCGTGCAGAAGGCCGATGTGATCTTCCTCGTGGAGGGCGGCCAGATTGTGGACAGCGGAAAGCACCAGGAGCTGATGGACAGGAGGGAGAGCTACAGAATCAACGCGATGCAGCAGATGCTGCAGTAGACCAGCAGCATGGGTTGAGAGAAATGACTGTTGAGAGTTTCGATTCGTTAATTGGGAAAGTGGGAGAGAAAAGCAAACGCAACATCACATTGCATGGGACATCTGCATGGGACACCCGGAAGGAAAGGGGGTAGTTCTGATCAAAAATGCATTTTTTGTATAACTCATAATACCTCAACAGCATTGTTCTTGTTTCGATAGTTTCAGCGGCATATAGAAATCTGATTTGAAATGAATTTTGAAGGGCTTGTCTTGAGTGATTGAAGTATTACTCGCGTCTACCAGCAACGACATTAAGAATCTAAACGATATTAAGTGTCTAAAGAACCTCTTGATGGCAAGGTTGACACTTGACCTTCTTCCCCCCTCTGTACTTCTCATCCATAAAAGCCATTAACTCATAGCGGCCTCGGAATCCTCTGTCTTCATCGCCCCTCACAAACGTGATTAACAGATTGCTTCTAACTTTGCTCATCGCCAGCAAGGCATCCATGTCGATCCTCTCGTCCTCCCCCTTGGTGATCGTCACCCTCTTGAGCTTCGGCGCCCACGAAGGGTTCTCGCGCACCTCGTCGAACCAGGCGCCCGTCGCCCTGAGACAGTTGGTGGTGAAGATCTCGAGACGCGTGAGGCTCGGGCAGTGCCGACAAAAGGCAGCAAACGCGGCGTCCCCGGTTTTCGAGGCGTAGGGGAGCTTGAAGGCGCGCAGCGCCGGGCAGGCCTTTGCGAGCCTGATGAGGTCGGCGTCGTCGACGTCCGTGTAGCCGTCATACGGCTCCCTGTAAGGATCCATGAAGACGAGCTCGATGCTCCAGAGTTTCTGGCAGAGGTTGGGGAACATGGAAACGAGGGTGTCGATGTGTCCTCTGGCTTCGAGTTAGCGAGGATTCGTTTGGGTGTACCTTTGGAGTTTAGAGTGGAGGCACAGGTCATGATGTGCAAGGTTGGTGTCAGAAGGGGGAGAAACGTACTTTGTGAATTCATATCCAAACCCAAACACTAACTCCCTCGTAGCTGTGCCGACCTTGGGCTTCGAGGTCGCATTGAAAGACGTACGAGTTTCCTCCGCTATCGCCGTGGAACATGGCAACCTTCTCGCCCTTTTGAGTGAAGCTTTTTTGCGGTCGCTGGAACGAGCCACCCCGCGGCTTCGTCCGCAGAGCTGGATCATCCACATCTTCGTCTTCTGATGATGGCGACGACGAAGGCGGCGCTGGGTCTGGGTTCTTCGGTACAACCTTCGCCGCGCGGGCCAGGGCCTCTTCCTTGTCGATCTTGACGAAGCCGAAGGCCGACAGGGGTCCCCCGAGCTTCGATGGTGTGGATTTCTTTGTGCGGACTGGCGGCATGGTTGTAAGCTTTTTGCTTCGAGAATTATTGTATGATACAGAGGCACAAGGAGGACTGATGGGAGATCCGTAGGATTAAATTCTTTCTGCGCTGGGTACGCAACGAGTGGGTGCCCATTTCAGGGGGCAGGGGTAACGCGCGACAACGCGTCAACTAAATTGATTAGATCGCGTGCGGTTTTTAGGCTTTGTCCGTTCAGCAGCTTTGATTGTCTTTCGATATTGTTTGCTAGACATGTAATCTTACCCACGTCTGGGTAAGCGTAGCCTCATCTGGGGTTTTAAACCCCAACCGTTTGCTTTTTTGCTTCTTATGGTAGCGCTTCCAGGGCTAGCTGGGGACGCCGTTGGAAACGAACACAAGTTACTAAGCCTCCACGAACAGGCTGGTTCTCCGTACAACCAACAGTTCTCCATTGCAAACATATTCCATGTACAAAAACTGGGGGAAAAAAGCGTGCTTTATTCTTCAGCTTACCACTGTCTCGGAAGACCCTATTCGGGCAAACTTATGACTGGCGATGAGCATCTCGGCGCCTACATGTCGTGTAACCTGCCGTGCCGAGAGCTTGGCGCGCAGTTGGGAGAATTGTCGGATATCGTCGACATGATGCAGCCTCTATAGTTACATTGCCATCGGTTAGCTTCTCGCAGGCTGCGCAACTCATGATACTCATTTTTACTTCTTTCATAATTCTCATCGATTTCAATTTGGCGCAACTGTCAATCAACCGAAAACCGAATCGTCTTCTACATTACGCGCTACATCAATCTCTTGCTGTTCCCGAGATGACCTCATCTCCATACCGCGTAAAGTTATCCGGGATGCTTGCCGTACTCTTCCGCATCGCTGCGCTTTTGGCCACAGCTCACGCCGCGACGCCGGTGCTCCCCGGTGTCTGGGCCGGCTGGGGCGGGAGCATCCACAATCGGCGGATGGCGGGGCCGGACGCCGTCATTGCTCAGAAGAACATCGGCTCGCTTGTCAAGATATGCGACCAAAGATACGAACCCGCCGGAGTCAGCGCCACACCGCTCGTTGTGGATGGGATCGCTTACTATCTGACCTGGACCGGTCTTCTTGTCGCCTTGGACTACAAATCGTGTCATGTGCAGTGGACCGCCAACATCACCCAAATGATTCTTGACTTCGCACCTCTGACTGATATCCAACGAGCGTCGGGCGTCAACCCCGTCTCCCGCAGCTCGCCTGTGACCGATGGCGATCACCTCTTTATCGGAACCCTCGCGCATGCTCTTGTGCTTGCCATCGACAGGGAGACGGGTTCTCTGGTGAGCCACCTGCAGATTGATGACCACCCGGTCGCCATGATCACACAGTCTCCGACTTGGTATGCAGGCCAATTACTTGTCGGAGCCTCATCGTTCGAAGTGATCAGTGCTTCACTGGCCAACTACAAATGTTGCGACCACGTGGGCAGCATGAACTCAGTTGCTCTCGAGGACGGTATTCTAAAACTACAATGGAAAACCATGATGATGACGCAACCTGAGAATTTCACAGGTGACCCGTTCTCCGGCGCCTCTGTCTGGGGATCCAGCCCCGTCGTCGACACAATTCGCAACTGTGTCTACATCGCCACCGGCAACACGCATTCCGTCCCTGACGAAGTTGCCGCATGCCAGCTCGCCTCCAATCAAAACGGCACCGTTTTACCCGACCCATGTTTACCCCCTGATATCTACCAAGAGTCCGTCCTCGCTCTAGACCTGGTAACCGGCAGCATCAAATGGGTACGGCAACTCGGCGTCCTGGATGCGTGGAACTTGGCATGTGTGCTCAATCCGCGCGGCGCCGAGTGTCCGCCGGTGGTGGGCCTCGACTCGGATTTTGGCATGGGACCGACTCTGGTCCCCGGAGCTGGCGCCAAGACGCCCAATGGCAAAGACTTGATCGTCATTGGACAAAAGAATGGCAACCTTTATGGCATAGATGCTGAATCAGGAGAGGTGCTCTGGCTGACCAAGGCAAGTCCCGCGGGTCTCGAGGGCGGTTTGAGCTGGGGCATTGCTGCGGACCATGTTGCGGTCTATTTCACCGCCATCAACAATGCTCGCACGCCATACGCCCTCGCCAACGGCCAGATTATTCAGAATGCCGCTTTTGGCGCAGCAGCTCTTGCGGACGGCAAGATCCTATGGCAAACGGCGTCGCCTAATGACACGGCCAGCATGATCGCCCCGACGGTTGTCAATGATGTGTTGGTAATAGGCTCAACGGGCAGGACGGGAGAGAACGGGTTTCCACAAGGGCCCGGGTCATTAGTGCTTTTGGACAAATTAACGGGAAAGATTCTGAGGGAGGAGAAGTTGGCTGACTTCTTCAAGGGCGGCATCGCTGTTGTGCAGAACTATCTCATGTTCGGTACGGGGTACTGGAGTGGACTGCGGCCACCCTTTGCCGGCGGGTTTGAAGTGTGGAGGGTTGAATAATAACTGGGTTGTTTAGTTTTCAAACTTTTCTTGGAAGACTCCTTTTGGAAACTCAGTTTCGTGACAGGCCTGTTGGATATGCACTAGTAGCACTACAATCTGTTGTTGCCACGAAGTCTGGGAATGGATGCTGGTCGACATTAATTCCCCCCTCACCTTCAGCGGTCGTTTTACATCCTCAGTCAGCACAGTGTATCGAGCTGTCAACAAATCGTTACTGGCAGGCTGGCGAGGCTCTCTGAACACTGGAAACTTCATGGAAACACTGTTATGCAGAACCAGTACTTCCCGCCATTGTATCTTATCGGCAGCTTTCTGTGTACATGAAGAACCACAAAAAGTACCAGGCACCCCCGTTGTGTAATCCTTTGACCCAATTCTCCCCACCCGCAGTTACCCCGTGGGGAGGAAGTACAAAAAGTGGGATGTTTCTCGCCGCCGGGTTGCGTTCCGTCGGGCATTAGGAGCCGCTTAAGGGCCGCAGTTCGGGTCCTACATCAAGAGTTAGGGCTGAAAAGGCGTCGACAGCCTGTGACTGGCTGGTACATACTCCAGGGCAGCTTCCTCCAGGAGAAGGACCAGAAGAAGCCTCTCTAGCTTCGACTCCGTCCGCGGCCTGATTCTTGGTTAGTACTTACGAGGTATGCTTGGTCAACGAAGTTCACTTACGGCCTTGTTAGGCACCGCAGCGGCGAGCGTAGCGAAAAAGTAGATGGCGATTGTCTTGATTTGCATGGTTACTGTGTTGATTGGGTTGAATGGGTTAAAGGGACAAAATATGTCAGCCTAAGGGGGAAACTGCTCTCAGTTTAAATACTTTTCTACCCAGGCTGCGTCTCGCTTTCAACCAAACCTCTCTGTTCAGCCTAAGACGAGCAAACTTTCTGTCACAGTTGCCGATCACTTAGTTGGATTTGAATAGTGTGGAGCATGGGGTTGTCGGTTTACCGGTCCAAATCGAAGACCTATAGTCCGCCAAAGTCCGGAACTCTCCGGGCACGCCGAGATACAGAAACACCGGCCTCCTACAACGCGCTTTGTATGATTGCGCCTCCTTTGTCTCTCGGGTTTGCAAATCCGCGATACAGATCTCACACAACATGGGTGGTCCTTGGTGTATGGGGCAGAGCGTCTGTCTACATGTAGGTTCCATGCGGCCCTGCGTGTAGACATAGTAATACCCACAACGTCTTGACGTCATGTCTGCTGATATGTGACATCCGATTTAGCCGCAGCCGCTGGTCAGTTTCCCTCTATGGTTTTGGGATACAGTAGTTAGAGCGAAAGAAAAGGAACGGTTCAAGCTTTATTGGATAGAAACCAGAGAGTATCCCATCGGCTGCAACGAGACGCCGGAAATCAATGTGCAGAGTAGAGAAAATGCATTCAGAAAGGCTACGCGCTATGGATAATAACATTGAACATACAGATATGTTCAACTCTGAAATTGGAGAAACCCGGGCTCATGTGGGTAAGTATCTGCAGCGTTGCGCAGCAGCCGATGGGATAGTTTCGCGAATAGTAATCGATGTCCTCAGAAGTTGCCGAAGTTCCAAACTCAAATGTAGCCGTTTATGCTTTGTTATTTTCAGGTTTTAAACGAGTCCATGGCTCAATTCGTGGCCTGGTGGATACGTGGCTCTCGCACTCAATTGAAGTCCGAGACCGAGCGACGGGTCACCCAGCGTGACTGAATCGTGCGCAACGTCCATTTGTATTGATCTCAACCAGAATGAAATTGATCTGACAAGCAGGAAGTTGGATGCCATAAGTATGTAGACAACCTACTTCAGATACGAGCGGCATTATTATTGTCCCAGACGCTTGCGAAGAACACCAACCAGCAATGTTCTCGCTTGTTGGCGGACCGAAGAGTTGTCATGGCATCCGCAACAAGCACACCCAAGTCGGCGAATACAGTTGAAGGAGCTTCGTTAAAAGCTAGTTGGTTGACAGTCACATCATCTTTGATTATAGTTGCATCTATCGCGATCTCAATCTTGGTTCAGCCAACGAAGCCCAGCATACAATCAGCGCCTTTGTTAACCATCATCGTGTCTTATGACCCCCTAATTATTCATATTGAGAACTTCTTAACGTCAAGTGAGGTGCAGCACCTTCTGGATCTTGCGTGAGTACCTCCATACACCTCGAGGACCCAATCCCGTTCTCTGCCACCTCAAATCAGCTGTTGCTAACGCAGATTCTCAATGCAGGCAAGAACGCTACCAACCTTCAACTGTCATTGACGACGAGACCGGAAGGCATGATAGACTAGCGTCTGGTCGTCGGAGCTCGACAGCTATGTTGCCACGAGGCGACGCCGTCGTGCAGTCCGTGATAACGCGCTCGGCACGTTTCCAAGGATTTGTCTCGGAAGACCAGTTGGAGCAGATACAAGCTACCCGCTACCTCGAAGGTGGCGAGTACGTTCCACACTACGATACTCTCTCCACTCGCCGGCCTTTGGGCCAGGAAGGAGAAGAAGGGGCCGTGAAGAACACTACAAGTCGTTTCGAGAGACTGACAACCATATTTGCCTTTCTAGATGACAGTTGTGGGTCTCACTGTGGCACACAATTTCCTCGCATTGCCATTGACTGGGACTCCGAGGACGAGAGATGGTGCGAGATAGTTGACTGTCAGGCGAGGACACTTACGTTCCGACCACGAGCAGGAAGTGCCGTGTTCTGGAAGAACCTGCGTGATGATGGCTCGCTTCACGAGGACACTCTTCATGCTGGCTTGCCCGTCCAGAAAGGCAGTAAAATTGGACTCAATATTTGGATGAGAGAGAAGCTATTATGAAACGGCCTGATTTGCCTATCCCATCGAGCGCGAGATGACGTCGGTACAAATATAACCCACCTTTCTCCAAATTCTCCCCCTTTTAGAACTTTTTATTCGTGGAGATAATAGGAAATAAGTCGGATTAAAACATAATTCGCTACTAATTACCCCGCATATGCTTGTACCGACGTCATCTCGCGCTCGAGGGGATAGCATATGAATTGCGGGTGGACTATGGTACATGTACGTATGATAAAAAGTAACCTCAGGTTCCTCCGACGTTTCCTCAACTATTAAATTCGATCTTTGCTAAAAGAAAGATGTCAATCTTCTTGAGTAATATTCAGTAGGCTTTAACCCCATACCCGCGTGTTCAATGGTGTACTGGAAGTCTATGGCATTGGCAGACGACATCTCATTCGACTACAGTGAGCTATTTAGCTTAATCACTCTCCTGATAGCGACTAAGTCTTATGACGAGGCTATCTGCATGTACAGCCAAAGCCCGTAATATCGAATCAACGTCACGATAATGAGTGTTGAATCATTACTCAATGCTGGTTATTTCTATGCGTAAATACGGCTGCTTACTGAAAATGAAGTTATATATGGTAAAAATGATTATCCGTACTGGGTAATATGCACGCAATGCTACTTGAACAGCTGCTGAACTGCTCAAGACCTCAGAAAATGGCGATGGCATTTGGCGGAGAGCCAACTAAGCATGGTGCGTTCAGAGGTGCAGATGTGAGCATGAAGGAATACCTTCCAGTCTTCTTGCAGTGCGCCGCGAGACGGCTCAGATCCCACAACTCGCCGATGGGCATACCGAAGAAACTCAAGAAGTAGTAGTGCAGAACTTGTCGACCGTATTAGTAGCTTGCACTCAAATACCAGGGAACAGCGGAGCTCACCTAGACCCGAAATACCAGCGACACTACCATCAGGATTCACAGGCGGGAACGCTTCGAAGGAGTTCGAGTCCGCAACGGCAGCAGAGAAATGTTTGTTCCAGAACCACCGGGCTGTCTCTTCGCAGCCGTGAACACCAGACATGGCTGCGATCTTCGATGCGCCGCCCATGTCCTCCGGTTTGATGCTGTCAATGAACTCCGTCGAGCCGAGCCTGATGAGGAAGATATCCCCGTGCTTGAACTTGACGCCGTAATGCGCAGCGACCGCCTCGATGTCCTGGACGGTGATGCGGTTGCCGCCAAAAGGGTGATACGAAATCCCCTTCTCCTCTGCATAGGAGACGTAGTCGATCAAGACGCCGCGGCCGACCACGCCGCCTCGGGTATGCCAGTGGTCAATGGTGGGCATCTTGTTCTCCGCCGTGGACTTGACGGACATGTCTTCTTGGGTTGGATTGAAACTTGTAGGCAAGGCCGGTCGGCTGGTGGTGCCAGTGGACGAGACTATCCCACTGGCTGCTGTTTTGCGTGTTGAACTCCAGCTCGTCGTCCCAGCCTATGGCGTCGCACAGCTTGGAGGACCGGAGGGTGTGGACTTTGTGGACGAGCTTCTTGCGTCCTGGGATCTCGGACTTTGACAAGCCATCCAAAGACCAGCTGGAGCGTTGTCAGAGCGACTACTGATCGTTGATAAATGAGGCGGATGCTTACTTCAGAGAGATGGACACTCCGTCTCGGACCTCCGCCCCGGCTGCTTTGATGACCTCTGGTGTGAGCAGGTTTAGCGTGCCGTAGATATCCCTTTCTCCGTTTTTGTCAAATATTCCCCACGCGCAGCCCTTTGGCATGCCCTCGACTGGTGGCAGATCGTCATAGTCGGGAAGGTTGAGTGTAGAGCCCATGACGATTCACGTGAGCGGTGTTTAGTAGGAGATGAGGTGAGAGGCAGTTGGAGGAAGCTGCAGTAGGCTGACAGCGGAAGCGAGCATAACTTGTTCAAGCAGCCCGCTGGAATGCTTTTGTATTCCCACGCCAAGTGACGAGCCAAACTTAGAAATTCCAACGACTTCTTTGGTTGATGCAAGTCCATGATATGGGCCCGCCTCACTGGCCTGTTGGTCCTTGAGGGGTAGCGTCGCTGCGGTCTGCAGGGATCCAAGCGCTGGACCGGGGGTTCATCTATTGATACCTGCAGAAACACGGTGATTTTGACGTAGCTATTTGTCCGAGGGCGCATTTGTTCTTCCGTGCCGCATCAAGAATCTCCCGGTGGTCATTTGTAGCGTGTTGATAAGGATTTACCTTCAGAAATTGCTTTGAAGCGACCCGACTGGTTTTACCTGTGGTACAGCGAAGAGTGGACACTGATTCAGCAGGCTTGGGGAAGCATTTGGGATTGACTTCAGCTTGCTCAGGGGTTGTTCGTGGCTGTGTTATCGATAAGGTGCCAAGTTTCTCAAGCTCCTATTTCCATTGCACCTCGTCTTCAGCTATTATCCAAACATGTCATTCGCCATTCTCATTCCATTAGAATATTGCTGCGGAACGGCGATGAAATGGAACGCCTTCAGCCACGCGAGTGCGGTGTTGACGCGCCCGCTGCCCATCTCCGCGCGGTAACGGCTTCAGGGACTGAATCAAGCTTAATCTTGGCTCAGCCCATCCCCCCGGAACCTTTTCAATTAACCTTTGCCTGGCTCGACGGCACGTAGAGATGACAGCTCGTATGTGTGTGAACACGTAGGATGCTCCCATCGGCATTGACTTCATGTCATCCGGACACGTTGTATCAGCGGAGTTTGAGTCCGGCGGAGATGCTGTGCAGCGGTCTGTCGGTCGATCCCGCCTTCAACGCATGGAGTCGGCCCCTCCAGAGACTCTAGGCACTGGCTCCTTGTTCCTCGGTTTCGCTTTCGTAGAATCGAATGAACCACTCGCATTGTCGCTTTCAATGCGAGCTTCAACACGCGTAACAAAAGCTGCGACCAGCCGTCGCCCAGGACAAACGGCAAGGATCCGCGATGCAGGAGCCGTGTAGGCGTGTTCTTTTGGCCATTCTAGACGAACCGGTTGACAATCACGGAGGGGCAAAAGCAACGTCCCCCTCACTACTCCAAGACGGCTCCCCACGCTAATTCGTCGCGCGGAGTCGGTAGTTGCAGGGTTCTGCATGGGCTCAACCACGCGGAGGTTATCCCACAGGCTGGGCAAACTTTGGACGACACGACAATTTCTCCAAAACACCTGCAATGCGATCCAGTGCAGCGGGAAACAGGCCGGCCGAGGTGGCTAGCGCCTAACGCCCACCGGCACCTCGAAGACCTGGCGACTCTCTTCTCTCTCGCCCTTTACCGCTAGACTGGTCAAACATCGTGGCCTCCACATCGCTTGTGATGCTGCAGCTCGAATGCGACGAACGAATACGAATACGTTTGCACTGTCGATCTCAAGGGGTTCTTCGTTGTTTTTTCTGTACTGTCCACCAAGCCAACGCTCTGCCGGGCTCATGATTCATTCCGAGTTGCTCCACAGTCATGCCCACTGTTGAGTGACAATGAGCGGCCGGCCGAGTCTTTGCCAGGTCGATGGCCGCGGCTCCTCCGAGCTCGAGACCCTGAGAGACACCAGACGAGACCCGCCCATGCATGAACCGCCATGAAGACCGTTTGAGGTGGGATGCCGCTTGGACGCCCTTTCATCATGATCGCATATATGTAGATCTCAAACCCGATCGCTCACAGCCATGGTTCCCTCTCATCTCATCCGAAGACCACAACCGTCAAATCTCCTCAAACCCCACAACTCTCTCGGGCCGTAGGAATACTTCACCGAGCAGCCCCATCGCCATGTCCGCACCTCCAGTCCCCGCCGGCGCGACCCCTGCCGGGGCCGCCGCCGTCGACTTCATGGCCCTCAACAAGAAGTACACCGAAGAGAAGGAGAAGCGCCTCCGCGCCGACGGCAACGGCCAGTACGTCGAGCTCGAGAAGGACGAGCGCTTCCGCAAGCTCGCCGAGGACCCATGGGTCGACCACGCCAAGCTCAACGCGCAACCGCCCAACCTTAAGGACGGCGACGAGGTCAAGGTCGTCATCCTCGGCGCAGGCTTCGGCGGCCTGCTGTACGCGATCCGCTTCATCCAGGCCGGCCTGCGGGCGGAGGACATCCGCCTCGTCGACGTGGCCGGCGGGTTCGGTGGCACGTGGTACTGGAACCGCTACCCGGGCCTCATGTGCGACATTGAGAGCTACACGTACATGCCGCTGCTCGAGGAGACTGGGTACGTCCCGAAGCACAGGTACTCGTACGGCCCGGAGCTGATGGCGCACGCCGAGCGGATGGCCGAGATGTGGAACCTCACGGACAAGGGTGTGTTCCGGTCGCAGATTAGGAGCTACGAGTGGGACGACGAGGCGAAGAGGTGGGATGTCGTGGTTGAGCAGGGCCGCGGGCCCGGCGACGAGCCCGTCACGATGAAGGTCCGCTCGCAGTTTGTGGTGCTGGCCAATGGTGTGCTGAACCACCCCAAGTTGGCGAAGAATCTGGAGGCGTTTGAGGGTGACATGTTCCACACGGCGAGATGGAACTATGGTGTCACCGGCGGGCTGGGCACAGCGCCCGAGAACCCACAGCTCACCGGTCTGGAAGGCAAGCGAGTTGGAATCATTGGCACGGGTGCGACGGCTGTTCAAGTTGTGCCGCAGCTCGCCAAGTGGGCGAAGGAGCTTTACGTTTTCCAGAGGACGCCTTCGGCTGTTGATGAGAGAGGGCAGAGGCCCACCGATCCGGAGGAGTTCAAGACGAAGATCGCAACTGGGAGAGGTTGGCAACGCAAGCGCACCGAGAACTTCAATGAGTGGATTACTGGAGGCGAGCCGGGAGAGAACCTTGTGAACGACGGCTGGACGACGCTGAAGGCGTACAAGGCCATTATTGGCGGACCTCACGACGCTCCGCTGAAGATGGAGGACATTCCTGGGCACCTTGGCAACATGATGGCTCTCGACACGCCCAGATCTGAGAGACTTAGACAGCGGGTTGAGTCGATCGTTGAGGACAAGAAAACGGCTGAGGGCCTGAAGGCGTGGTACCCGGGCTGGTGCAAGCGCCCGACATTCCACGACGACTATCTCCCGGCTTTCAACCTTCCTCACGTTCACCTAGTTGACACGGAGGGTAAAGGTGTAGACCACGCGACCAAAGACGGCCTCGTAGTCGGAGGAACAGAGTACCCCCTGGACGTCATCGTCCTCGGCACAGGATACAGACCGCCCGGCGAGAACATGGCCGAGCCGTCGTCGCAGTCCAACATGACCATCAAGGGCCGCGGTGGACAGCTCATCTCGGAGAAGTGGCTCACCAAGGGCCCGAGCACGCTGCACGGCGTCCTCACCAACGGCTTCCCGAACCTCTTCCTCACGGGCCCGATGCAGATGGGCGCGTCGTCCAACTTTGCCTACGTGACGGACATCGCGGCGCAGCACTCGGCGTACATCTTGGGCGAGGCGATGAGGCGGGCCGGCAAGAGTACGGACAAGGTGGTGATTGAGAGCACGGTGGACGGCGAGGAAGGCTACGCTGCGAAGATCATGATGCACGCGGCGTGGTTCGCTGGAATCGCGACCTGCACGCCGTCGTACATCACCAACGAGGGTGAGCAGACCAAGCCGGAGGACCAGATGAAAAAGATGAGGGGCGCGCCGTTCCCCACGGGCATGAACAACTATACCAAGTTCCTGGAGGAGTGGCGTGCTGAAGGGTCGCTGAAGGGAGTTGATATCACTGCATAGCGTTGGAGCACCTCGAGAGATTAGTTTAGTGAATTTGTAGTAAGAAACAAGCGGTATTTTGGACACTCTTCATGGTGCGAGGGTCTTGGCTAACGGCTTCAGCAGATCAGCCGAAGCAACTGTGATCTTGCCTTCCCAGCGAAGGCTTGATGACATTGGAGATCTCACAGGTCCACATTCTCATGAACTTCGAGCTCTGTTGAAATGAAATCAACCAAAGTTCCCCCCATCAAAAGATCTTGTCTAGGATCTTCTCACCCCCATCCAAGCGATCGGCCTCTTTCCTGAGAGCATCTGCCCTGAACCTTCGGAACGCAGTCTCGATCCTCGCGCGAGCCTCAGGGTCCTTGCTAATACTTCGCGCAGCGGAAGCGGTACCCGAGACGAAGCCGAGCTCGCCGCCCAGGAACAGACTCCCAAGCCCTAGCAGCGAATAAGCCGCGATGTCGCCCGCTTTAGTCGGGGCCATCTTGTCTGTGACATCCGGGATAGGCTCTGCGCACTCGTTGGCATGACATTCACAACTTTTACATACGTGTATGCTTTGACAAACCTGTTCTTCCACTTGCAAACTGCACATGGGTGGGCTTCTCAGTTGCCCGGAACGCCGCAAACATGTCCGCCCGGGCCCGTCTCAGCCGAAAGGCGAGGAAGGATCCCAGCCCCAGACCAACGACGGACCCTATCGTGGCGTGGGTGCTGACTCTGGCAGCTGCACTTTTGAGGAGGTCACGGTCTGAGTCTTTGAGGTCGTGTTCGAGATGTTTCTCCGCCAGGGCGGCAAGGTCGTCTGAGGAAGGCGACTTGCGGAATGCAGCGAGGGAATCGCGAGACATGGTTGCAAATTGCTCTTTTTGGGGATTCGGGTGTTCGGGTCAGAAGAAGACGATTTCAAAGTCAACAGTGAGATAACTGCATGTGGTGAGATTTACTGAGATGTTCAGAGTCAAATATCGACAGTTCAGACGGCGTCTGGAATGCCATCGACAGGGGCAGCCAAGCTTTGGGGTTTGGTTCGTCTTAGCGTGTGATGACGTCCTGCATACGTGATTGAACGTACACCGGAATGTGCGGAGAAAGTTCTGGATACCGGAATAGCTTCTTCGAACATCCACTACAAGACTCTTCCTTCCTCTCTTCTGATAGAATCCAAGCTATTGTCTCTGGTATCCAAACTGATGTACCTTAGTTAGGTGTCGACACCCTCCGGCTGCAAATGCTCGCTCACCAGTGCGTTTACTGGTCCTCTGCGCTGTAGCGTCCCTCTGTGCACGCGAGCGCCAGCGCCAAAAGATGGACTTCTTCCAACTCTCATGTTCACGCGAGCTCATCTGAGACTACACATCAACATAAGGAACCACCGTACAAGAAATGGCTCCTGAGAGAAAGACCTGTCCTTCAAGCCCAAATTCGCAAATTTGCGCGCGACCAAAGAACAGACGGCGGGCCCCACGATGATTCTGTTGGTGCGCGGGACAGCTCAGACCTTGTGCGGTCCATAGTCCCCGCTTTTGCTGTTTTTATCATCAGTCATTGGAAGGGTGGCCGAGTTGGTTATGGCGCCAGGTTAAGGTCAACTTAACATCTGTTTCCTGGTGGGGCAACCCGCGCGAGTTCGAGTCTCGTCCCTTTCATTTTTTGCATTTTTGCCGTTCAATTGGTCTTCTCTTGGTGTCATTTTTGGACATTGTGCAAGGGAAATTTTGTTCCTTTCGCATACCTTACTCAATTTAAAGCCAACAGCTGCAGTGAAGTGTCTTACAAGCAGAAAGTTGCTTAGTTACTTTTATCATCAAAGTTTAAGCATTTTCGACAATCTACCTTGCAGCATCAAGCATGCCACCCCCGCTATGTCTTACCCCGGTGATCCCCCAGATCGTACCCGAGTGTAACGAGCCGTTGCAGACCTTTTCTTGGCCGCACCTATGAGATGAGTTTGTTTATAATGTTGTTATTGGCCCTGCACTTAGTTTTTACATTTGAAATACCGTACTTATTCTAGTGCTTTTAGACGCAGCTCGCCTTCCTCACACAGTAGGCAATTCTTGAAAAGATGGCCGCTGATCGATGTTGTGACATGATTGATTTCCTTCGCCTTAACTAACGTAGTCAGGTCTTGATCTTGATAGGTTTATTATCCTTGCCATCATCTCTCCTGGTCATCGAATATAGCCAATGGGGATGATTTCATCCTCTATTAGAACGCAGCCGTCGAATGATTGCGCTGGTACTGCTGCAGTCGGTTGTCGATTTCCAACACAGGGCCAATCACTAGGTTGGAACAGACTCTGGTTTGAAAGGACGGCGGGCAGTAGTTGATCGAATGTTCAGATCTACGGAACACATAATTTTCCTCGACGGCAACTTCACAGTTAACCCTCAGCCGGGTATTGTCATTGCCGCCGGAAAGGCCTCGGAGGACATTCTCAATCTTCGAGAAGTAAGACGGAGGAATTTTAGCGGATACCCGCAATTCACTGTCGCTTTCGGCCACTGTATTAGTGCGGTATCGCTCCACTGCTTCGACAAAACAAGCTTCTTGTTCCGCCGCGACGAGAGGGTCTCAATCTAACTCTAAACGAGAATAGGCGGGAACATTGTCTGCTCAGCGTTAGGATCCCGTTTACTGCGTCAAAAGTTCCCCAAGAGACCGCTGAACAGGGATGTCTCTGGCACTCTCAGGCGGTTGGTCCCTGCTGGTTCTCCGTCGTCTGACACGCAGTCAACACGTAACCATGCGTGTCCCAAGTGCTTGGTTTGCAGCAGGATGAACCGCTTTCCTCACGTTCGGGTCTCGGCACGAACCACTGCTGATCTGCTTTCCAGCAGGCAGTTTGATCGCATAGCCTCAGGTCACACAACGGATGCTAGCCGTCTCAGCGCCAACGTAAGCCGTTATTGACCTTCCTATCTGAGCTTAATACGCATTCTTCCATATCGTTCCCATTGCTATCTATCGTGTCCTGGGATTAGTTTTTGTCGGTAGTGAGCGGCCTATTTCTCCGACAGGAGTCAAACGGCAACAATCGCCTGAGACATGCGGAATAGTCTATAGTTGTGAGATATCCATACGGGACAATTCTAGCGCAAACTGAGTCATTTGGCCTCGTAACTATCTTCGCGTTTTGCGTTGCCGTACGGGCATCACTGCCTATCTCCGCGCGTAAGATTACGCCAGTCTCTTGGAAGTTGGAACATGCGCCGCTAACCTGCACCAAGGTGTCCCCTGCTGCCATCTCATGTGAATCGTTAAATGTTCGACCAAGTTCGTCTGGTCTGACAGCATCCTGCTGCAGTTTGACGTTACCATCATCAATCCCACCGGCAGCAGCGATGGACAACTTCACCTCCATCGCCGACTGTGAAGGGTCGTTCGGCCCCGCTGCATCGGTGTGCAGCGACCGCTTCGACTTCACGCTGCTCTTTGAACAATCGCTCCTCAACATCGGCCCGTCCGCCGCCCTGCTCTTGGCGCTCCCGCTCCGGCTGCAACAGCTGCTCCGCCAGCGCCGAAAGGTGCTCCGCCATCCCCTCAACGCCGCCAAGATCGTAACGTGCGTCACTTTTGGTGTGATTCAGATTGCGCTGGTGTCGCTGTGGGCTCAAACGCCGTTCGCCAACCGCGTCTCGGTCGCTGCGGCAGTCCTCGGGGTGCTGGATGCACTCGCGCTCGGCGTGCTTAGCCATACCGAACACGTTCGATCGATCCGCCCTTCGACAATCATCTGCGTTTACCTCGTCTTCTCTCTGGCATTTGATGCCGTGCAATGCCGCACGCTATGGCTTCTTCCCGGATTGCAGAAACTGGCGGCAGTCTTCACAGCCTCACTGACGGTAAAGCTGGCGATGTTTATGCTTGAAGTCCAAGGGAAGCGTAGGTTCCTCATTGCCGCGCTACGGAACCTTAGCCCCGAGACGACGAGCGGCATCATTGGTCGCGGTTTCTTCTGGTGGCTCAACGGGTTGATGACGCGGGGGTTCAAGGCGACTCTCTCACCCGCTGCGCTCTACGATATCGATGAGGGTCTAAAATCAGAGGAGCTTCTCCAGCGCCTGCTCCAGCAGTGGGACCAGCGCAAGGGAAAGGGCAAGTATGCACTTATCAAGGCGCTCTTCAGCTCGACCAACAAAGCTTGCATGGCCACGGCGTTCCCTAGACTGGTTCTCATTGGCTTCAAATTTGCGCAGCCGTTCCTGATCAACAGAATCATCACCTACGTCGACGGCGACAAGGGATCCGACCCCAAGTCTGTGGCTTATGGACTCATCACAGCCACCGCAATGATTTATCTTGGCACAGCTGTACGTAAAATGCTCGTTCTAAGGTGGAAGTCCATGTGCTAATGGTTTGCAACTAGATTGTGAATGGATTCTATCAACATAAACTATACCGATTCATCACCATGGTTCGAGGGTCTCTCGCATCCTTTGTGCTTTCGAAGAATCTCGATGCCAATACGGCTACAGCTGAGGACTCATCGGCTGCTCTGACGTTGGTCAGCGCCGACGTGCGGAATATCTGCAGGTCCTTTGAGACACTCCATGAAGTCTGGGCGAATCCTGTAGAGATCGGCATTGCTATTTGGCTGTTGCAGAGACAGCTTGGACTTGGAAGCGTAGGCCCGGCCATCACTATCATAGGTAAGGAGCTGTGGCAACTACGAAGTCTAAGAAATACTGATTGTGTACAGTGTGCACCGTTGGTATGAGTAAACTTGGACAACTGATGCCGCCGGCGATGAAGCTATGGAGCGAGAACATCCAGACCCGCATCACTGTGACTTCAGAGGTCCTCGGCTCTATCAAGGAGACCAAAATGCTAGGCATGACGGAATTCCTCCAGAAGGTAATCCAGGATCTCAGAATCACTGAGCTAGTCATGGCCAAAAAGTACCGTGCCATGATTACCTACATGAATGTCCTAGGTGAGATATCGCAGTAACCCTACATTTGAAGCACGTCACTGACTGGAACAGGAAATTGTCCGAGCATGGTTGGTCCCGTCGTGACCTTCGGAATCGCGCTTCTCGCCCAGAGAATCAATGCGGGAGGGTCGCTTTCTATTGCAACTGTCTTCACATCACTCTCCATCATCGATATGATTGCCGGTCCTTTGGCCCTGCTAATCTCTTCAGTGCCAAGTCTGCTTGCCTCTCTGGGAAGTTTCGAGCGAATTGAGGATTTCGTCGGTAACGACCGCCTCTCACAGAACCCCACTACTATGGAGCAGCGAAGACCTACTCCTTCTGAGAGCGATGCTGGAGTTGAGATGCAGACCTTTTCAACTAAGGCGTCTTCGGATCAAGACCATATCGTTGTGGTCGAAGATGGTTCTATCTCAATCAAGGCTGGAGAAACGCCCATTTTACAGAACGTCAACCTTCGCATCCCGCCTTCAACACTGACGATTCTCATTGGTCGCGTTGGCTCTGGCAAAACAGTCTTACTCCAGGGTCTTTTGGGCGAACTGCCCATGGCCGGCTCCGTCAAGACCTTGGATGGAGGCGTGGCATACTGTGCGCAGACCACATGGCTCACGACCTCAACTGTCAAGGAAAACATCATCGGCCAATCGCCACTGAATCAGGACTGGTATGATAAGGTAGTACATGCATGTGCCTTGCTGTCAGACTTTGCGAATCTGTCAAATGGCGATGGAACTGTTGTTGGGAGCAAGGGCCAGTCTCTCAGCGGTGGTCAGAAGCAGCGTGTTGTGAGTTTCTCTTGGCGCATTTGGAAGGCATCAGGTAGTGGAATCTAACGCGCTTTTAGGCTCTGGCCCGGGCGGTCTATGCGAGGAAGCCTGTTCTCGTTGTCGATGATGCGCTTAGTGGATTAGATTCCTCTACCCAAAACCATATCTGGGACAATGTGTTTGGCCAGAATGGTTTGGTTCGTCGGTTTGGAACTACCATCATTCTTGCTACACATTCACGTAAGCAATACCTTGGTGCGGAATGTATCGTTGCTTGAGCTGACAAACCCCGTAGTGAGCTACCTAAAGTATGGTGATCATATCGTCATTCTCGGCGACGACGGCAAGATTGCCAACCAGGGTACTTTCACTGCTGTTCGACATAGCGCCTACCTCGAAACCTTGTCCATTGAGGACAACAAGCACAGCAAGAACGATGAAAGCGGCACATCCACCCCCGAAACTTCAGAGAAGAACAAGAAACCAAAAGCACCGGAGGGGAACGACAAGGAACTGGATCTCCTGAGAAAAGCTGGAGATACCACCCTTTACTGGTACTACCTGAAGTCAATTGGTTGACTGTACGGCTCTCTTGGGGTGCTGGGCATGTTTGGCGACTGTTTTGTCCGGGTATTTCCCCGTAAGTAGCCATTTATCCTTCATTTGGATCCGGTACTGACGGAATGGCAGAGGTTTGGTTGAAGTCCTGGACCGAGAATGATGCAAAGACCGGGGGAGCAGACACCGGCATGTACTTTGGCGTTTACGCTGGCATGTCTGTCGGCGGCTTGTTTATCATTGGACTGAATATTTGGTACGATGCACTGGAAGAGCCCAAGCTTTACAAGAACTAACGAGCGTACAGGATGATGTTTGTCATGATTGTTCCCAAGTCATCTCAGAACCTGCACTGGAAATTGCTCCAGACCGTCATGAGGTGGGTCGAAGCAAGCCAAAGGAGGTGTAGAGTTTCAGCTGACAATTTGTAGAGCACCTTTGTCTTTCTTCCTGGTTAAAGACACAGGCGATCTACTGAATCGGTATGGTCTCCTTCGCATCCTCGATGCCCTCCAACACTAACATCTAGAAGATTCAGTCAAGACCTCTCCCATATCGACCGAGACCTCCCAACCGCGTTATTCATGACTTCCATCGGTAAGTGCCAACTTTCTCCAGGAAGTACAGCATTCTAACAAGGCGAAGCGGTTCTGGATTGTCTTGCTGGATTGGTTCTCATCATGATCGGTGCCAAGTACCTCGCGGCCGTGATCCCTGTCCTACTCGTCGCTCTTTACTGCTTGCAGGCCTTCTACCTGAGAACCTCTCGACAGATGAGATTCCTCGACCTTCAGGCTCAGGCACCACTACTGACCAAACTTGTCGAGACGATTGATGGTATCTCTACTATCCGGGCATTCGGCTGGCAGGGTGCATTCCGCGACTCATCACTCCACCTCCTGGATCAGTCTCAGCGGCCTTACTACCTTCTGTTCTGCATCCAGCGATGGCTTACTCTGGTTCTCGATATCCTTGTTGGCGCCATCGCGGTTCTTCTCGTCTCGCTAGCAATGACCATCCCGGAATCAACCAGCACTGGTGCAATCGCTATTGCGCTTTACAATGTGCTTAATTTCAATTCGTCACTCGCCACTCTCATCACCTCTTGGACGGAGCTTGAGACGTCTCTGGGTGCCATCTCAAGACTGAGAACCTTTGAATCCAAGACGCCAGTTGAGCCATCCCCTTCACCAGAGGAGCAAGCACCCCTGCCGCCTAATTGGCCTTCCGAAGGTCGTCTTGAGATCAACAACATCACAGCATCTTATTCCCCAGACACTAGGCCAGTGCTGCAGGACGTATCACTCACTCTGCAGCCAGGTGACAAGGCCGCAATCTGCGGTCGCACTGGCAGCGGCAAGTCAACACTGACCCTCACCATCTTCAAACTTTTGGGCTTAGACTCAGGCTCAATCGTAATCGACGGCATCGACATCTCTCAGGTGCCGAACAACGTGCTTCGTCGTCGTCTAATTGCCATTCCCCAGGAACCTCTGCTCTTCCCCGGAACGCTGCGCACTAATCTCTTCCCACACACCGAGGGTCTCAGCGCTGATGAGATCCCCTCAGATGAAGCCCTCATCTCTGCCCTCACAAACGTGTCTTTGTGGTCAGCAATCTCCCTCAGCGGCGGCCTAAACACCGACGTCTCCAACTTGGCCTTGTCAAAGGGCCAGAAGCAGCTTCTCTGTCTCGCACGCGCTATCGTTCGCAAGCATTCAAGCAAGATTCTCGTTCTCGATGAAGCGACGAGCGCCGTTGACCAGGAGACGGAGGAGATGATGGCCAAGATTATTGAGACTGAGTTTGCAGCTCATACTGTGGTATCTATAGTTCATAGGCCACAGGCACTGCGGGGATTGCATATGGTGGTAACTCTCCAAGATGGCAAAATCCTGAAGATCGGCCCTCCTGAGCTGTGACAAAGTACTTGGCTATTTCATTTCCCAATAACGTTTCGTAGACTTTCGGACGCACTGCACTCGAATATATTAATGGATGGTTTGTTTGCTGACGGGGCCAGTTCCGAAACTTCCGTGTGCACGATTAATGAATTCGGCATGCTGATCTTCAGCCAGAACCGGAGAGTGAAGTGGAACCAGGAGTCTTTGAGTTGCATCTGCATTTTCATGGTTCCTGTCTCCTTTTTCCATAAGATCTTGTTCCGGAAGTGATGTGACACGAACAAAATAACTCAGTCTCTATTCTGACGGGACTTCCGGATGTGGGCGTCAGGCCCAGCAAGTGTGGAGAGCGCAGGAGGCCTTGTACTCCAAATGAGCTGCTGTCTTCAGTAGAATGTTCACGAAACTGAGTCGAGTTCTTCTTCTGAGTTCTGCCCGTAATAAAGTCTGCCCAGATTTGTAAACAACAGTCCTTTTCGGTGCCATATCAATGCAAATGCGTCAGATTGACCGTGCTACTTCTCGAACAGCCAGTTTGAAGAGTACTAGTTTGTTCGCGTAGCATGTTGCTCTCCGCTCCACGTACTCCGCGGAACTCAGGCGCTGTGATCCGGAGCGGTCCCGGGTGATCTGGAGTGATCCGGGGCTGGCAGGGGGGTGTGACACACCGGGAATACCGATACAACTAACTCAAAGCTTATTGTCGGTGACGGCTTGCGACTTGTCTCAAGTTTTACAGACGAACCGGATTCGACGTGCGAGCTGAAAAAGTCCAGCAAACTGGAACTCAACATCCCAGACACGATGCAGATCCGACACCGAAACTGGTATTTTCCATTGCCAGAGGCTGGTGGGTACCGCCCAGGACGTGACGCGTCTAAGTTGGCCTTTAAACTCTAAATTCACAGACTCAGACGGGGCCTTTTTCATTCGTGTAGTTCACAAGCGCCCGTAGTATGGAGCGTGCTGTTGGTGTTAGACATGTTGGCGCTGAACGTGTTGCCGTGCCGTGCAGTGCCATTAGGGAAAATTTGATTGGGAAAGCTCCTGTTGCAGGTCCTCGCAAATCGACGTGAGATATATACATAGTACATCTTTCATCCCATGGTCAAACATTCTAGAAGCGGTACAGAAATAGTTCAGCTGCAAGCACCGACACCTTGGTAAGAAATCGTTTGATCGCCCTTCAAACCCAAGTGCTATGCATAAGGCTGCCGTGGTGCTTGGCATATTGGCCACTGTCGGTGAGCTCCGTGGCGCAGCTTTCAACTCGGCGGACGGATTTCAAGGAAGCGAGTCAGCACTGATTTCCACACTCAACACTTCTCCAGGCGCCGTAGCGACATCTTCGTAAAGCGAAACCTACGAAATATGCCGTGTACAACGGTGATATTTTGAAACGGGCGTAAGACGCTACCCCAGTTGTATTGATACTGTCGGACTCAATACCCGTCAACGTCAACAACGCCTTAATGTGAAAATGTGAGTATAAATGACATGACAAGAACTCCGTTCGTCGCAACTCTTCTGTCCTGTCATCACAACATCTCATCCCATCATTGCAACATCCCACCGGGTCTATCACACAACTTTATTCCATAATCTACGCCACAAAACAAACGTTGAACGTTTATCAAATACCATCAACATGCGTTTCCAATTCGTTTTCGCTCTTCTGGCCACCTACGCTGCCTCTGTCATGGCTGGTGCCTGCGAGGACTGCCAGAGGACTTGCCCCAAGCCTAGTGAGGATGAGTGCAGTAAGTCAACATCCGCAATTGTCAGATGAATAATAACTGATCACTGCGTTTCCGTAGACACTCTCTGCGCTCCCATCTGCAACGGAAAGCGATTCGTCGCATAAGTAGCGCTGTGCGTATGATTTTGGGGGCGTTGGACGGAAGATAGTATATTAGCAAATACATATATCTTACTTCCAAACTGGACCGCTGGTGACCCATGGTGTTGTGAAGACTATCGCGGTTTTGTCAGGCGCTTAGCAGGCGAAGTGTGATCGCGTGCGCATCTATGCAAACAAGAAAGCGACCGATCCATGGTATTGGTCCGGTCATAAAAAACAAGGTTGCTCTGGGATTTCCCGGCTTGGACTCACAGTTCAGCAAGTCCCAGTCCCCGGTTTGACGATCAATTGCCGGGTGGTCAAAAGGATGACGCTGAGTAGCTTCGGCGCCAAGATATTGTGGCAACTGATGATAAATAAAAATTAAACTACCGGAGGCCTTCTACCAGAAGAGGAGCGTGGAGATGACTACGAGAAATGTTTTACTCCAATTCAACTCTTAGCTTGATCAGCTGAATAAAGTGTGGCTTCAGAACCTAATGTGTGCTGCCCCTATTCTAGCCTGGACTAGGCCCAAACCCCTCCGCATTGGTAAAGAGGCGTCGATTTTGCTCCTGGGAGCCGTTCGGCTGGCTGTTAGCGCAAAGAGCTACCAGACGATTGGGTCAGAAAGGCAAAAGCCGTCATCGTGACTATTGGGACTAGAGTCAAAACAAGCTTATTCTAATAAACTGCTCTGGTACCCTGAATCTCACAGTCACTTCTCCAGGCAATTCAAACTGCAATCCATCTGCCGGTATATGAGCCCTTTCAAGGGCTGACGATTCCCCTTCCTTGTCCCAGATCATTCTGTTACAAGCTTTCAGCACGATATAGTTTGAGGTTCCATCATCCTCGCCCTCTTCTACAGTTCTTCAACTCTGTCTCTGCTATCTAGGCTCTTCCGCACTCAGGGAATCGATCATGGGCCAAGGCTACAGCTATCAATCATGCTATACGGACTTGATCCATGGACAGCGTACGCTGGGAGCCGCTACCTTGGTCGCCAATGATATGACCATCGAAAAGTGCAGCAGCTTCTGCTCCAACTACAAATACTTCGGAGTCGAGTACGCAAAGGAATGCTGGTGCGGCAACACCATTGAGGAAAACCAAGTTGTCGCAGTTTCAACAGAATGCAGTTGGCCTTGCAGCGGCTCATCCTCGCAGACCTGCGGTGCTGCCAGCCGCATCAGCCTCTACGAGCGTTGGTTGTACTTCCCTGCCACCCACGCGACCCTTTCCGACACACCTTATGTTGGCTGTTTCGCCGATGGCAACACCCGCGTGCTTCCCAGCAAGCAATTCACCTCCGACTCCATGACAGCAGCAGCATGCGCTGCCAACTGCGCCGGGTATACCTACTTCGGCACACAATGGTCGCGGGAATGCTGGTGTGGCAACACCCTCCCGACTGTCAGCGCTCCGGATGCGGACTGTTCAATGACTTGCACTGGATCCAGCTCCGAGACCTGTGGAGGCAGCTTGAGACTGAGCGTCTATGGGCCTAATACCAAAGCTGTATACAATCCTGGAAGCACTTCTAACACAGGCACCACCACATCTCCCGCTACCGTGTCCAACTTCGCCTACCAGGGTTGCTACACCGACAATGTCCCCCAACGTGTACTGTCAGGGGCAGTCAAGTTTGATGGCGCCATGACCCTGGAGATGTGCGCCTCTTTCTGCAGCTCCTCGAACTACGGAGTCTTCGGCGTCGAGTACTCTGGCGAGTGCTACTGCGGAAACTCCTTGGACACCGCCAGCAAAAAGGTGGCCGAGACTGAGTGCACGATGAAGTGCAAAGGCAATAACGCCGAACTATGCGGCGACGGAAATCGTCTCAATGTCTTCGCTCTTCCCCCCGGATCCATCACGGCTACCTCCAACCCAACTGGCAGCACGAACGGTTTCTGGTATCAGTCATGCTGGAACGACAACATCAACGGCCGTTCCTTGAAGGAGAACATCCTGTTTGCCGACGACATGACGGCCGAGAAGTGCGCAAATTTCTGCAAGAGTTATCAATACTTTGGTCTCGAGTATGGCGGCGAGTGCTATTGCGGCAATACTCTCGGAGGCACGAAGGCTCCAGAGGCAGACTGCAGTCAACATTGCAAGGGAGATGGTACGCAGTTCTGCGGCAACGGCAACAGACTCAGTTTGTACAGCACCATCAACCCGACCGCCGGAACCTGCAACGCAAACTTCCACGGAGATTTGACTTCATTCTCTGTGTCGATCGGGACCGACAACGACTTGAAGCCCTGGGTCCACGAGACGGGTGGTGCTGCCATCTCCTACGTCACCGGGGACCAGAACGCGCTCTCGTACCAGGCCGCATTTGGGGCTTCGGTGAGCAGCTCCGACAACCTTTGGCAAGCCTTCAATGTCATACAAGGGGCCGTATACGAGGTCTCTCTCAGATTCAAGGTTGGCGGCTCCCTTGGCAGCATTTCGGCTTCTCTGCAGGTTGGGAATCCAGGTGTCGGCCTCAGCGACGTTGCAAGCGATACCCAGATCGTCCTCGCCAATACTGCCAGCTCAAACGACGGTGTTTGGCAGACCATGAAGGTGACGTTCACGCCTCGTTTCAATGTTGCGAAAGTGTATCTCAAGGCTTCCATGGCTTCCGGTGCGGGCAGTTCGTCATATGTCGTATGGGACAGCGTCACATTCAAGCAAACATCCACTTCGACATACAGCGCTGCCTCTACCAACGGACAGATGTTCGTCGACTACCGATCGGGGGTCGTACAATATGCTTCCTGGGTCAGCCCGGGAACTGACGACATAGTTGCCCCCGCGGCAACAAAGCCCACGATCAAGGAGATGGCCACATCCGGGTACAACAACGCCGCTGGATCGCGCCACATCTACATGGGAAGCTCCAATGATGCACCTGCGACCGGACCAGCTTGGCGTTTGGCAGGTCTCTTGAGCGGGAACCCGACAGCGAAGTCCGTGATGCGGACTCATTTCAGGTCAACTAACAGCAACAACTGTTTCATGCAGATGCTGAGTCTCGGTCAGCTTATTGGCATCATGATGCTTGATGGCTGCCCCGGTCAGTGGCAGACATTTGAGTCGGTTCCATTCTATCCTGCTGAGGATCGTTGGTGGCAAATGTCTATCGAATGCTACAACCAGGGCCACGATGCGTCGGCCTGGGTGGATAGTGTCGAACTTCGCCCATCTTCATAACTGAATCTCTTGCGCGAGTCTGTGAATAGCGGTAGTGTTAGTGGCATTAGGATAATATTATTTTGTAATACGACAATTTCTCTTCTGACTAATACGTACTCAAATCCACTCCTCTCTAGTAATAGAATGCTAACCCATTTTGTGCCTATGCGAGCGGAAGTTCTTGGTATTTCCTGCTTCTATATGCTAAAATCTCTATGCGGGAAATATGATCGATCGAAAACCGCCGGAACTCCGCCAATTAATACGTCTTCAGACGATCAATGAGAATGCTCACGGCGGCCTTTTCTTTTTAAAGCTGACCTCCACGGTGACAGTCCTCGTCTGGATGATCGCGTTGCTCAGATTGATGGCCTGTTCTGCGAAAACATCGTCATGATAAGATGGAGTATCTTTGTAAGCAGGGGTAGTTCGTGAGGCCGAATGATCACCTCCTCCCCTTTCCATATCGAATGCTTCACCGTCGTCCTCGTTGGGCTGTGGGTGCCCGTTGCGATTCCGTCTGCCATTCGAGCCACCAATGGTCATGCGGCTGATGGTTGTGCTGCCTGTGACACTCTTCTTGCTTCCCTTTGCGTATGTGCTTTCGCCGATTATCTTTGGGGCGACGTGCCGGAAGAACTTTCGAAGAGTCGGGAGAGCAGCGCAGATAATGAGAAGATTTGCTTCGACAATGCTGCGAGAAAGAGCACGTTAGCGGTATAAAACCATAGAAGTCCGAACTGGGACGCTATCGTCTACTTACATCCAGAGACTAGCATAGGAGATGGCCCAGGTTTGATCCAGACTGGTTAGCATGGCGGGAAGCAGCGAAACCCGGATGAGAGAAGTAACAACAGTTCTTGAGAAGTCAAGAGAGTCAGTCATCTTTCCGTTTCCCGTCGCAGGGAGAGATTTTTGTTGTGCTTACAGAGACCCGACTGCGAATATGAAGAATAATCCGATCTTCTGCCGGCGTGGTATTTGCAGCTTCACCACGATCGGAATCGGCAACGAGAAAATCATGACGTCGGACACAATATTGGCGACGGCTGTCGCAATGTAGATTGCCGGGCGGTCGATGCATGTTCCTTCGGTAATGGTCACGTCCCAACTCATCGCTATTGGATCACACGCAAAGATGAGAGCAAAGAAAAGAGCAGCGCTGTAGCTTATGATGACACCCAGCGTGATCCATACCGCCCCCTTGAACCATCTTTGAGGCGATAGTCGCATGTAAAAAATTAGAAGGGATACTTTGGCGAAGCTTCCGCAGATAGTGTAGATAGGGGCGGCGAGGAAGACGTCCTAAATTTGATGACATGTCAGCAGTTGTCGTCTTCTGCTGATCCTTGGCCATTTACCATCATGAAGATGTGGAACTTCTCTATTGGAATCTCCCAGGCGTGGACTCCGCCAGCACCCACTGCGAACATGTCTGTTTAAATCATCGTCAGTATCAGAGAGACTTCATCAATATTGAGCAGACCTACGTGTACACAATGCGATAGTCGTTATTGACGTGAGCTGAAGTCACGTCAGCATGATGCAACCATCCCAAGATGCCGGTACTTGGCGAGGCACAGCTCGCTTATGCCTGCAGTGCGATGTGATCTGGAATTCCAGACTGTTGGGACTTACCCAAGCCAAAAGGAGAAATACTACCGAGCGTTAAGTCAGCATAGATAACGCGCTGTTGTCCTGTAGCATACTTGAGAGAAGGGGGTCAGAGTGAGATGGTTCTCAGCTTACAATCGTCAAGTTGCAGGCGGCCGACAAGGAATGCTTTCGTATACAGACGCTGCGCCATGAGCAATGCACTCAGAAAAGATCCCACCCCGCATACCCAAAAAGCCGCCGGAACAGCCTGCCGCTGCGGATGGTCGAAGTTGACCACGTAGCCTTCCGGCGCTGGAAGCATCGTGACTACGCCATTGACCACGGGCATCGTGGACACGGAGTGGTGTTGCCTCCTTCGATTTTGATGGGATATGGACGAGTTGTCATGAAGTTGAAGAGATCACACCGGCCCGAGTCGACGGAAAAGGAGTGGACCGTCGCCTTCCAGAAAAATGGTCCCCGAGCGGTAAACGCAAAAGAAGGGTGCTTGGAAGAGTGCCGGTTATGTATAGAAGAACTTAAACGGTAGTCGGGCTAAAGGAAACCTTCGTCCTTGCTTCTGACAGTTTGAGTTCCATTTCGACGATGCATGTCCTGTGCTGATAGCCTGATTCATACGACGCGTTTCCTGACTGGCCTCAATGGGAGTCCCTGCACTGTAGGTTCCTGTTTGAACCCTAAAAACGCGACTTGTCGTGGTTTTGGAAGCCAGACGGGAGTTCTCTTCTCCATGAACCCTCTGTCCATGAAGAGAGTCTTCCTACATGAGAGATTGCCTGACTGAAGCAGTTGGAACACACCTAGTACTCTATCAAAATCTATGCATAACTGTCTTTTGCGAGGCTACTCCATCAGAACATGGAGACGCTAATTTTCACATGAGAGAAAGTTGGCTTTGTGTCTTAATTGTTTACTTATTTGCCCGAACTACGGTGGCAACTTTGCGCAACATCAATGATGTTCGCTCGTTGGATCCAGTATCTCGGGATGCCCAGCTGACTATGCGGCTTTTCCAAAAGACCGAATGGACGAAAGCGAAACACGACAGGCTCTGTATGGTGATGTGGCCTTCTTGTAGGGCGTAGAGAGCTAATGTCCCCGGGCCATCAGTTGCCAGCTGTGCAGCAGCATTACACGTGCATCTTCAGACGAGATGCAGAACAAAACTCTGCAGTGCCAGGGCTGACTGCCAGAGTTATCAGAAATGGGAGAGGAACACAGAAAATAGGCCCCAACATAAATCTGCAGCTTATCCTCTGGGCCTGCTGAAGATTTTTGTCCATCACTCCCCTCCTCAAGCAGGTCGCTTGCGTAGGGCTTCGGCAGCCCCTTGTCGTTGAACCTTGACCACGGAAGCATGCGTCCATTTTAGCTTCGGCGGAACTCTCTTTTGCGGCCCCAAGCTGGGAAATGTTGGCGCGTTGTTACTCTGACTTTGGCCTGCATCGGCCGTTGCAGGGGCGTACCCCGGCCACCTAGAGCACCAACATGATACAGCGTGCGGCACGGTCAGTTGGTCTCCATTTCAGCGGTAGAAACACGAATTCGCCATTCGTTGCTTCGGACTTCTTACCCCATGTTCCCTAACCCCCCATCTGGCCGATGTGGCGATGCAGGGCGCAGACTGGGTCTTTCAACGATGAGGCCAGACGTACATAAACGACATTGATCACCACTTTTTCAACACCTAGGGCTTCTAGCGAAGACCCTTGATTGGACTTGTTGGCCGGACTCAGGACCAGATCAGCCACTTCCGCGTGCCCAGGACCCTAGGTTTACTTCGATGCAAGTGAGTCTGCCAACGCAGCTCGGCCACTCCCACGTCGAGGCGTTCATCGATGTCGCATCAATAAATCTTCGCAACCCGAGAAGATTGCTCTATTGACACTCCCGATGCCACCCTACTGCGCAGGTCTTTTGAACCCCTCCTGCAATGCATCTTGACGGGCTAGTCCTCCGGTGCTAGGTCTCACAGGGGTCCACGGCACACCAGCTGCAAAGGATAATGTCTTCCGCAGGCCGGCGAGACGAGCCGAATATAAGGACGAGACCACGGCAATCGCGTGAAATCGGCTGCTCTGGTATTCCTCTTCGTTGGTGTGTAACCATATTCTCTCATTCAGTGCGCCTCTTCTGGCTTGGTTTTGCGAGGTGCAATTAGTGATCGCACACCTAAGGTATCTTGCCCGGGCAGTCAATTCCACCAAAGCCATCCCTCCGGGCCAAAGCCGAAACCATGAAGTCAACCAGCGCGAGTCTCGCGTTGGGCGCTGCAGCTTCGTGTGCCTCGACTGTCTTGGCACAGCAGACCTACCTTGATTCGACGGCATGCGTGAGTCGTTGTCCCTTTTCTCCAGGTCTTGGCGGTTCCCCTTTTTCCTCTTTGTGCCATGTGGGATGCTTTAAGAGTCGATAGCGATACTCATCATGTGGACAGTGCTTGAAACTGAGCAAGACGACTGGTCTAGCTGACAAGGTGTTCTTCCCTGACTCGACCGACTATACGGATCGCATGAGTACATACTGGTCCGTCAGTGCAGCTCTCAACCCGTGGTGCATCGCTCAGCCATCGTCTGCCGAGGATGTGTCTGCCATCATCAAGACATTGGTCGCCAATGACTGCACATTTGGCGTTCGTGGTGGGGGTCACGGAGCCTTTGCCGGGTCGAACAGCGTTGAGGATGGTGTGACTATCGACTTTGGTACGTCGTCTCTTGATCGCATTAGGAAACTTCACATTGACACTTCCGAGGGTACATGAACGGCACCACCTACAACCCGGACACCAAGCTCGCGTCCATCCAGCCCGGTGGCCATTGGCAAACCGTCTACGACACCCTCGCGCCCCACGGCGTCGTCGTCACCGGCGGCCGGGCCGGAACTGTGGGCACCGGTGGCTTCATCACCGGCGGCGGCAACTCGTTCCACTCGGCATCCCACGGCATGGCCGCCGACAACGTGGCAAACTTCGAGGTGGTTCTCGCCGACGGCTCCATCGTCAACGCCAACGCGACCTCCAACCCCGACCTCTGGCAGGGCCTGAAGGGCAGCGGCGCCAACCTCGGCCTCGTCACTCGCTTCGACATGTACGCCATCGAGTTCCCCGACCCAACGAACCCCGTCATCTGGGGCGGCAACATCTTCTACGACCTCAGCTCCGGCCCGAAGGTCGTCGATGCCCTGGTAGACTTCACGGAGAACGTCTACAAGGACGAGAACAGCTCGTCCATCATGTACTGGGTGTACCTGCCCTCGGCGGGCGGCATGTTCCTCAACGCTGCGATTGAGAACGCCTTGGGCGAGGTGAGACCCACGGCATTTGATGGATACTTTGCCGCCGGCAACATCACGCAGGACACCACTAAGCTTGACCTCATGTCCAACGTTTCCAATGAGCTCGGCCAAGGTCAGCCTCCTGGTTTCCGAAACGCCTGGTTCACCTTGGCCTTTGACAATGACGCTCGCATCATCAACTACGCAGCTGACAAGCATTACACACTCGTTGCGGATCTGGAGGCGGCTGTCGGCGTCGAGTCCGGCTTCAACACCCTCTGCATGTTTCAACCGATCACCAAGTCTATCGTTGAGAAGGGCGTCCAGAACGGAGGCAACATCATGGGTCTGGACCATTACATCCAGAGGGGCAATGGCATCATGTTTCTGCTTACGTTCGCCATCAACGGTGCTGACAAGGAGGCGATTGCATTCCCTCTGATCAAGGCTTACATTGACGACGTGGAGGCCCACGCGGTCTCTCTGGGCGTCGCATGGGAGTGGAAGTACCTCAACTATGCCCACAAGGTGCAAGATGCCATTTCAACCTTTGGAGAGGCTGCTGTTTCTAAGCTCAAAGCCGCTTCTGCCAAGTATGATCCGACTGGTGTTTTCCAGAACCTCCGTCGTTCAGGGTTCAAAATTCCTGTCTGAAGGGTTCGGGCTGTCGAAAACTAACAAACGATTTTCATGATCATCCACATGACATGTAATATTCCAGTCACATAAAGTAGTGAAACGCGAGAATTCATCCATAATGTTTAAGTCATGCAACCTCAAAAGAAACGTGTCATCTGTTTCACCAGGCAGTGCAAATGAACTACCACCGAAGTTATTAATGGCCCCAACAACTTTCGAGTTCCTATCCAAGCAGTGTAGAAGTAAACTGGAGCCCGACTTGTAAACTGTCCTCATTGGCTGCTTTTCTTGTTCATTTCGTAAGTATTGAGATAACGGCATAAAACACCCGGCTCGGTTGAAGCTAGGAAAGGCATTAAAGACCACTGAGGCTTTACCACGACGCGCCTTAGCAAGTACCACGCGGCATGTCAATTCCAGACTAGGAGGGTCGGATGCAGAGGCATTATTGTCCTAATGTGAAAATTCCGAGTCGTCCTTAAGTAGTTTCCTATTTGCTGGCCTTCATACGTGCCCTGCAGCCCCTGGCCAGATCAGTCTCCTTGTTTTCCCGGTAGACTGCTACCGAAGAGCGACGAATCACAAGTTGACGCAGACACGACAGACATTTAATGGCCCGTCAGTGGAATTCCACACTCAGTCTCCAAGTCTCGTGCTTGGTCATGAGTTGCAAGTTGCGTTTGCGGAATGGCACTGCCTCGTCATGATTGTGTCTAGGCGAGTTGAAAACCAAACTTCCTTCGCAAGTCTCGTCATTATCACCGCTTTGGCTCGATCTATCTTTCACTTTTGTCCGGGGGTTATTATGACTCTCATCCGTATCGTAATAAACAAGGGGAGGCAAAAGGGAATTAACAGTACGTTTTGCGAGAGGAGGGCTCTGCACTTGGAGGGCAGATTTGGACATGGAGGATTGAATGCATTATTGCCTGTAGCCGAAAGCTGTTTTTGATGATCATCGGAAAGCTTATTTGAAAGCTTTTTATCCCGTCGCTCAAGACTGTTTCACATCCCCATCTGAATTGCGACTTCGAGACTAACCCTGTCTTCATTAGCACCAGCACTACACCATGATGCAATCATCGAACGGCAGTTTGATTGTCAAACATTACGAGGAACGACGACAATGGATTATAAAAGCATTAGAAGTCTTCTAAAAATGGCGAACGGCACAGGAATCGATCGAACCGCGCCATTGCCTCTTCGTACAACTGAGAATCAGCCGACAAGAATATATTGTAGCCATCGCCCCAGCATAAGACGCTATCTCAGCTAGGGTGCATTTCGGCATGTGGCGCATTATCTACCTTTGAATCTCTGTTCCCCACTTCCTCTGTCATATCAGTATCTGCGTAATCATTCCTCAGAAATGAGATGTGCGTGAGTTGGAGTTGAACCCTTTCATAGGCTCACGAGAAGACCTAAGCTGATCATCAGACTTCCAATCCTCCATGAAACGGAGTCGGAAAACATCACTAGAACTCGGCCATTCGCGTTGCAACGCTTCAACAGTCCCTGAGTACGCTAAATTCATAGTCCAGCAGCAGCCTTGGCAATCCTTCAGAGGTGGGAACACATGTGGCAGCTGGAGGCAACGCTCCTCATATGTGAATAACTCCGCCACATCTCCCATTTCTGCAAATACATGGTGCCTCTATTGGAAATTACTCCATCCTTCAGCTAGGTAGGTTAAAAGAATTCAGACTCTAGTCATGGATAGCGCATGTGCAGCAATAAAAAGGCCGGGCTGCCTCGAGGGTGTCAAAAGCGGAAGCATTATCAATACCAGAACAAGTCTTTCGCAGATTCGTTACTACCCCAGCCGTTTTGACGTTCTCTCGGGCTCTCTATCTTTCTCATCCAAAATGAAAGAAGTAACAAAATAAATGATAGGTCAGAATGATTCCTTTCCTAAGTTTCACACGGGTAGATTTTACTTCCCTGACCTTGCACTTGTCTTCACACGCGACAGTGAAGTATCATTCAACATCCGGTTTTTGATATGTGCGTCCTGCATCTCGGTCGTCCTACAGGTATTATCAGCCGTATCATACCTCATGATCTCTGGCCACAAATTTGTCATGTACGAATTGAATTTCGCAAGCACCTCTGCCACTAGATAAGCCAGAGAAATAGCCTGTCCCCATGAAAGTAGAAGGGAGCGGTGGGTTTTGCCATTGCTGATTCCAGCAAGAGGCATGCTGCAACAACCTCGACAAATATATACTCAGGCGTGAACCGGCAATGAACCACGGTACATACATCAACCCGACCTGCTCTTCATGCGACAGCGCACCGCAGTATATATACCATGTCACAACAGCACACTGAGTCGTAATGAATGTACGCTAATCGAAGATGGCGGCGTCGTGCGATTTCTAGGAGTTGTGCAAACACCGATCGAATGCTTCGTGACAACGTGCCTGCGAAGCCCTTGAAATCTGATTTCCACGAATACTCATCTTAATTAAGGAGTCATTCTTCAACGTCTTCATCTTCAAGTTATTCTCTTTAACGATGGCATTATTCATGTTCTAGGTAGCTGTTGCCAGACATTTATCCCAGGACCATATAATACTTCCACCTAGCTACACAAGAAAATCGCAAATCACGAAACCATAAGAGTCACACGTTCTGGAACGCTAATTCCATTTGGCTCTCGGTAGCAAAAGCAGACGGAAAATTCTCTTTTTTATAAATACTCAACTCACAACCTGTCTTCAGCAACCGCAACTCTTCAACCAACAAACATTCGCCCCACAATTCCTTCCTTCTCCGATTCTTCAACTCGGCCGTTCCGACTTACCCCGAGACAAAAACTCGGCCAGCCGAGCCAACCCCTCGGATTGCCGACGTTACCCGAGCACACAACCCGCACGCGAACCACCCCTCCGAGCCGAAACAGCCTCCCACAAGCGTGTCCAATCCGAGGACGGTGGTTCGCTGGGAAAGACGAGGCTGAAGTGGTTCGGGACATTTTTGGAACGGGCTTCTCGGCACGAGGCTATCGTTTTACCCCACGGGCCATGGCTGGCGAAACGCATCGGGGGAATTCGTCATGGGGCGGAAAGGATATGCCGTGACCAGGAACGCTTGCCACAGCTCGCTCACAATGCGCATAAGAAATCTTGGATACCCAGAGTTGAAGACGGAAAAAGGGAATTCATATGCTTTGCGTGACTCCTATGCTACGTACAACTTGGTACAACTACAATCTTCCCGCCGAGACCTCCCCCCTTCCCACCGGGCTCCCCAGTGTCCAAAAAAACAGAGAAAATTCTAACAGTTGTTTACCATCCTCCGCTTTTATGCAATTCGACCGCGTAGGTTGGTATCTATCTCTCGTCGCCCCCAAGTCGCGCCTCTTGTTTACGGAAACGGACCAACGTCTAATGTCGCAGGGAAAGGTCTTTGAGTTCGAGGAAAAAAAGGTCGGCGCCGAGGTGTAGGTTGTTGTGTGTGTTATTGTGTCTATAGCTACACATTATGGTGGGGCAATTTACAAGGTGTCCATCTTGTCGAGGATGGCCTTGGTGAACTGGTGGGTGGTGGCATCACCGCCCATGTCGCGGGTGCGGACCTTGCTGCGGGGTTGTTAGCTAGGATTTGAGGCAGGCAAGGGAGGTTGAGACTTACCCGTCGGCAATGACGCCGTAGATGGCCTGGGAGATGCGGTTGGCGTGGTCGTCGAGACCAAGGTGACGGAGGAGCATGGAGCCGGACAGGATCAGGGCGGTGGGGTTGGCCTGGTCCTTGCCCTTGATGTCGAGACCGACGTGACGGCAGCCGGGCTCGAAGACGGCGACGTCGCGGCCCATGTTGCAGCCGGGGACGATACCGGCACCACCGACGAGGGCGGCGCCAATGTTGGACAGAATGCCACCGTACAGGTTAGGCATGACCATGACGTCGAACTGCTGGGGGCGGGAGACGGCCTGCATGGAGGCGTTGTCGACAATCATGTCGTTGACCTCGAGGGTAGGGTAGTCGTTGGCGACGCGGTGGAAGGTGGAGCGGAAGAGACCGTCGGCCAGCTTCATGATGTTGGCCTTGTGGATGCAGGTAACCTTCTTGCGGTTGTTGGCAAGGGCGAAGTTGAAGGCGAACTTGGCGATGCGCTCAGACTTGGCGCGGGTGATGATCTTGAGGGACTCGACGACACCGGGGACGGACTGGTGCTCGAGGCCAGAGTACTCACCCTCGGTGTTCTCACGGATGATGGCGAGGTCGACATTCTCGTGGCGGGTCTGGTAGCCGGGGATGTTCTTGATGAGGGAGATGGAGGCGTAGATGTCGAGCTCCTGGCGCATGGCGACGTTGAAGGACTGGTGGCCGGAACGCTCGATGGGGGTGTGGAGGATACCCTTGAGGCCGAGCTTGTTGCGGCGGAGGGAGGCAACGGACTCGCGGAAGAGGTCCTCAGTCTTCTCGGGGGAGGTGGTGTTGAGGCCGGAAACCTCGACCTGCTCCCACTCGATGGGGACGTTGTCGGCCTTGAAGATGGTCTTGACGCTCTCGGCGACCTCGGCACCGATACCATCACCGGGGATCAGGGTGACCGTGTACTTTCCGCCGAACTTGGTGGGCTTGAAGATGTCAGAGCCGACCGTGGCGTAGGCGCGCGCGGGCTGCGCGGTGCGCAGAATCTGGAGGGCAGCGGGTTAGCCATGTCTGTCTGTGTGTTGATATGTTGGTTATGTGGCAGTGGGGAGCCGAGCTGTTGGAGCCTGTGATGTGTGTGTATGTGCATATTGGCGTCTTGGTCTGTCTGCCTTCTCCCGTGCGTATTCCCAGCTGATTCTCTTGCGCATGGCGTTATCAAGACATGGCGATGGTGCCGTGTTGTTGTCCTTTCTTCCCCTCCAACATCGGCCCGCGCTACACACAACCGGCCGAAAAAAACACTACACCACACACGGACACACCAGGCCTCGGCTCAATGGGGCGCCAATTGGGTCTCTTCACGTACCTGCGCAGTGCGGGCGGATCCTCGGGAAAGCATCGTGGGCGGTCGTGTGGTGCTTGGTGAGGGTATTCGGAGGGGAGAGGGTCGAACGTCAAAAAAATGGTTCGGAGGTCGGAGGAAGGAGAGGTGGTGTTTAGGTCTGGTCTGGTCCTATCTGCGAAAGGGAAGGAGTAGGGAAAAAAGAGTGGGATTTCTCGAGGTTGGCTCCTGCTTGTCCAGAGTTTGGTCTGCTTGCCTGGGTCAAATGCCGCACTGCAATGCCACTGCCTGCCACAAAAACTGCGCTGCAGGTGCCACCCGACCTGGACGGGCTTTCCTTCAGTGCCTTGAGGACCTGCACCTGCCTGGCTGCGACTGCCTTCCGTCAGTGGCGGCCGCTTTCAGCGCTCTGAGTGGCTGAAACCGTGAAAAAGCCCCGCTTCTTTTTTCCGGACGGTCGGAACAATGGAGGATGACATCCGCGGGAAAGAGCGACTGCGCTGCGCCAGAGGAAAGAGCCTTCACTGAATTCTCGGGAAGGGAAGGAACCAGACAAGGGGCACTATCCCCCTTTGGGACTAGCTAATGTCGACACTTCCTTCTCGGCTGAGCTCCGGATGTGGAGGGGGAAAGCGATTGTCGCTATCACGTGTCCTCCCGTCGTCTGTTCTTTCTTTGTTAGTCGCTGCTTCTGAACTCAATTGGCTCGTTTGAAACACGTGGGAAACAATTTTGCGCTGCTGTGCTGATTGGGCCTCGACATCTAATCTGATTGCATTGCATCGCGATGGCCTCCTTGAGGTCGACATCTCCATCTCCAGCATCCGCCACTCTTGCCGGACACTGACTTCCCCGCCATCCCGCTTCTCCACTCTGTTCTGAGACCGCCAAGTCGGCCTTAGTAACCCCAGCACGTAATTGCGATAATTGCGACACCATTTCGGCCGAGCTTGCTTCGAGTTCATCAACACCAATGAGCCACCCCATCGTTGCAAATTGAACAAATAGCTGTGAGTACCTTGAAGCTTAGTGTAGATTTGTTCTCTTTTCTTTTCAAAGTAAATAAGAAAGAGAGGGAAAAAAAAACAAGCCTATTATATTCACGGTTCAAAAGTGGAAAGGAAAATACCAAAAAACTGTGATAGCCGCTTTCCACTTTCCCACAGCTATGTCGCAACCCGTCGCACTGTAAAAGGAGACATGCGGCACCTCTCGGCTGCTGAATATGCTATTCAATAAGAGATCGCCGAGATTTTCTATGCCTGTGCGGCTACATTTTATGTTTACTCAAGTACGCGTGAGGAAACGACGGTGACGATGATAACAACAGTAATAGCGACGATGAGGACAACATTCATAATAACGATGATAACAATAACGACGGTAATAATGAAATATCCTTGAACATTTGTTCTTGGCAGGTTGCTTGTTTCATTGGATGTTGATTTAGCAGTATTACATCACAACTGTTTTGGACGCATCTAAGCCCTTACCTTCACCAAACACTCAATGGAATAATTAGTGAGTCTAACTATGAGTTGATATTGTCCCTGGCTTTATGCTGATGTTCTACAGTTCATTCATGAAGAATCGTCCCTAGATAAGTCCGCGAAACCGGAGCTTGGAGATTTGTTAGTCGAGACTTTTCAGATTGAAGAGTATCACCACGTGAGACAACCGGCCACCGAACCGCAATTAAAATTAATCATGTATTACCACAACGAATACTATGACAATGCGGCTTCCTTGAGCTCCGTCTTGATCAACAGAATACCGTTCGTCGGCATACCGCTTTTGTCCAACACCCTGATGAAGCGGTATCCAAGTCTCAGTCTGTCCAGCCGCACACACGCCCACGCAGTCATGACATCCGGCCCAATAATATCGTTCATCACCACGAATGACAAGAACGCCAACTCGGGCACGACACCTTCCACATTCAAGAACTCAATCACCTCGCCGCCAAAGTCTGGGCTGGTGCCCCTGCTCTTGCTCGTCTGGCCGCTGTATCCGACCTGCTTCACCTGCTCTCCGCCAGTGCCTTCGCTCACCATCGCCGCCAGAGCATCTGGCTCCGTGTGCAGGCCGACCTTGACGTACGGGATGAACTTGGCAGGATCGTCATCCCTGTTCAACAGAGGAAGATTTTGCGCCGCGAGGACCGTAACAGCGATCCGATCGAGCGTCTTACCGACAATCTTTGATCCAAACTCTTCCTCTTCCCCCTCATTGCCATTCGCCCCATCATGCTGGCGATAACCCTCCGGCTTCAGCACATAGCCATCAGACCCCGCAAACATGCCCTCATTCAAGATCATGCCCACATCCCACGATTGCCAATTCAGCGCAACAACCTGCACACCCGCCCTCCAAAACGCTACAGGGTCGAAGTTGGACGAGTCCACCCGCATACCATGCGGATACGTGCGCATCAGGAACGCGCGGTTGTGCATGAACAACGCCCGCGGCATCCGCCTCTGGATCGCAAAGGCCGCCTTCTCGGACAGCGAGAAGATGTGGTTCGGCATCGAGGCCTCGAGCTGCTCGAACGACTTGAACGTGATGCCGCGCGTGTGGATGCCCAGACGGCTCAGCCGCGACGTGACCTTGGGCGGCTTGACCTTTTTCGTCTTACGCTCGTTGCCTTCCGTGACGACCTCGAACATGCTGCTGTCGTCGTCCAGACTTTCGGCGGCGGTGGTACTGTCGGCGTCGTCCTTCTCGTCTTCGGGGACGTACTTGACCTTGACCAGAATCTTTTTCCGCAGCTGGTCCGGCGACGGCAGGGCCTCCGGCGTGCCCGTGGGTGCGGGCAGGAGGTATTCTCCCCACAGCTCTTCCATGATGTCGACCATGGCGCTTTGTTGGAGAGGCGTGCAGTGTACCTCCAAGCTGACGATGAGTGGCAGGTCTGAGGTGGCGAAGGCGTAGTCCCTGACGACTCGACAGACGTCGCGGAAGAGGACCTCCTTCGTCATGGTGAAGCCGTGGAGAACGCGGGGCTCTGCTTGGATGATGTCCGACAGCCTTTCGTCGACAGTTCTCCCATCTGGATCGACAGGCTCGAACTTGTTCATCATCCACCGGCCGACCTTCATAACCATTCGATCTCTGAAACCGATATTCTGAGGAGCGGCGTCGGTGGCAGCAGCTTCTGATTTCTCAGACGTTTCGGTCACTTCTGTGTCAAAGCCGGGTTTGTACTGTTCCTTCCCGTCCCACACATCAATCTCAATGCATCTACACCCGCGCAGAAGGACGTCCTTGTACGCATCGGTGCTCGAGTCGCTTGACAGCTGGTTTCCGGTGAGGTAGGTATTGTGGCTCGAGCTAATGAAGTAGCTGCTCAGCGGCCACGAGAGGTCCTGAGGCGGCGCCACCTCTAGCATGTTCCCGCATGGTGAGGACACGTACTTGATCAGGTCAAATATGTCCAGCTCGTCCTTGTCGACGAGGTAGCCCGCCGCGCCGTTCGGGTCCTCCGCCTGCACGTGCTGCATGAAGACGCTGAGCTGATCCCGGGTCCATTTGTCGCTTGAGCCGGCATACTTGTTGAAGAGCTGGGAGAGGTGGCCGAGGATGGACTCGTCCAGGGTCTCTTGTACGCCGCTGGATTGGTCACTGGAATGGCCTCCGCCAGCTCTGCGTTGCTGCAGCGAAGAGTGGTCCGACATGGCTGACGACGTGCTGAAGGATGAACACGTACAGAAAAAAGTCTTTGAGCGTTATCGCAAGTACATCTGGAGCAACAAGACAGATGCCATTTAAATAGAGTCCGCGATGATTCGTTGTACTGTATCTTGATATAGTCCAGGGGTGTTAAGCCACAGTTTGGACCCCATCGTGCCGGTGGGAGGGCGTTACCATCCTTGGCACACCGGTAAATTGCCGACTTGGACGCTCCACAGGCCAATCGGTCTCGCCGTTACCAAGGCTTAGCTTTCGAGTAACGTTGTCGGGAGCATCTCCTAATTTGTAGTTCAGACATAGGGCTGGCTCGAAGGAAAACTAGCTTTCGCGACCCGCGGGAAGCAGGAACCTAGCCAGCACAGATAAAGGTTCGGAGCGACAACTAATCAACAAATTCTATTGCTAGGGCTGGCTTTGTTCAGCCGCACCGAGTGGAACGAGCTGTAGCGGGTACTCTATGACAATTGCTAACGGAACCCACAAAATGAGTACGCATCTGGACTTATTTTGCGGATTCTAGGGACGATGCTAAGTCGCTAAGCCCTGACCGCTAAAGACGGCAAATCTAGGCAGAATCTTGGCTTTCACGTGGTGAAAGGGTTGTACATAGCCCCAGTATCATCCGCCACGGCCCTCAACTTCTTGTTCTGCCTCCTCAAGTACGTCTTAGAAGTGAACGCCATACAGAAAGTCAGACCTGCGAACACGATTTGAAGAATCATTGCCATGGTGTATCTCGGCGAGTCGCTGTCCGGGAAGAAGTAGGGAGAGATGACGTTGCCCAGATGGCCCATGATATTGACGATGGCGCCGCCGGCAGCGCGCTTTTCGGGTGTCTGGCTGAGCGTTGAAACTGCCCATGTGTAGACTAGTGCGTTTGCTGAGAAGCTGCCGGTGGTGTAGAGAAATGCTGCGGTGTATCGAGCGGGCGTGTTGAGAGTTGCGACCGAGATGACGAAGCCGGTGATGGAAAGGCAGTTGTTGATCATGATGTGATATCCTCTTTCCTTCTTACTGTCCGAAGACCACGCCACGCAGAACGAGACGATGGTACCGACAATGTAAGGCGGAGCAGTGAGTACGAGAGCCATGGTGCTGCTGCCGAGGCCGAAACCACGGACCATTGTGGGGAAGAAGTTGTTGAATCCGTAGGAGGATGTCATGAAGATGTTCATGAAGATCTGCACAATGAAAGAGTTAGTGATGATCGAGAGCATGGCTCGGTGATCGACTTACAAAGATGTATGTCTTGACATCCGTCCACGCCAGGCGTAGCCCATGCCATACGGTCAAATCGGTGGGTTCTTCCACCCGGTCATCCTCGATGCGAGCCACTGCGATTCTTCGCATCTCCTCGGTCATCGACCACATCGCACCTCCGGTCTTCGAGTGAGGATAGTTGGGCAAGATGAAGAAGGCAGTCAGTGCAAAGAAGGCGCTAAGTGCTGCTTCTAGTATGAAAAGCCACTTCCAGCCGGCAATACCTGCTGCGCCTGACATGCCTGAGAAGACCCCAGCGGCGATCAATCCCGAGAAAGCTTGTGCGAGAACAAGGCCAGAGTAGAGGAGCGCGGTACGAAGGGCTAGCTCTCTGCGAGTGTACCAACATGACATCAGATAGACAGCCTGCACCAGAGTCAGTACTAAAAGACCAGACAAGTGGTGACTTGTCATGACGTACACCAGGAAATAGCGGTGCCTCTATGATTCCGAGAACGAACTGAACGGCGAACAGCTCGCCGGGGCTCGACACGCCTGCAGTGGCGGCTGAGACGCCAGACCAGAGAATTGCGCAAACTGGAAGGTAGACAGCTGGGCGCACTCTGGTGATGAGCATGTTTGAAGGCAGCTGCGCGAGCATGTATCTGAGAAGGGTCAGATAAGTTGGCGCGCTGCAGCCATGGTGTTTACTTACCCAACAGTGAGCAGGGCTACCGCGGTGCTGTAGTCCGTGTTTCCTAAGTTAAGGGTAGCCCCGAAGTCATCATCAAGACGCGCCTGGCTATTTCTCAAAGTCAGTTTTTCGAAGATCTATACTGGAATTTGGCCCATACGCGATGTTGGTCCGGTTCAGGTAGTTAAACATGTAGAGGATCCACAATTGAGGGAGCAAGGTCATGTCCAGCGTCCGGACGATCTTGCTTTGTTTCGCTTCCCAGCCGGGGATGCCCAGCGCTCCAACAGCGTTCCGCACACAAGCTCCTTTTCCGTTCTCGGATTGCTGAGTAGGTACGCTGTGGAGGTTGACAGCTTCGCTAGTGACTTTTTCCGAAGCTCCCATGACGTCTCGGGGATCTTGGACCGCAGGCGGAGTTGGTAAGTTATCGTTGGGCATCGGAAAGCGCTACGAAGAACGCAAACAAACAAGGACAAGACGGAGAGGGAGAGGGAGTAAACGGACGACCGAAAGCCATAAAAGTTGAGCAGTCCATCTTTGCTACCTTTTTAACCTCTCAAATCTTCCCCACACAACCCCAGATTGCCTCCGCACTCGTCTCCGCGTGGCCCATCTGCGTTGGAAGATTTCCATCTTAGATATGAGAATATTATTCGCTTTCAAAACATTGGCGCCTTTGCAGGATTGCTTGGTTTGGCTTGGGACTTTGCGGGGTTTCCTTGGGTATTCTTGGTACCAACACATAATTTTCATGGGCACGAAAATTGGGATGACATCACGGCATTGTGAGAACCTCCGTTGCATTCTCGCCCAGGAGTTGACAAGAGTTGGCAAAGGGGTTTGTGGACACGAGCGAGTCTGGGGTGCGGGGTGTTTGCATGGTGTTGTTTGGTCAGCCAAGAGACCAAGACTCTGAAGTCCCAACCAGGGATGATGCCAAGGGGGCAAGGAGCCTCATGTCAGCCGCTGACGTGTAAGATGCGGTGAAAAGCATCTCCGCAAGAATCGTTTTGCACTGACTAAGGCACATACGCCGTCAAAAGCAATGAATAGGAGCGTTATCTGGGGAGAACGGCAAGCGATGGATGTTTTCTGAGAATACGAGTTTAACAGAGTACACCTTATCAGAAGAAGCTCAACATTCTCGTCGCAAAAGAGGGAAATACCACTGTCCCCTGTCTCCTGGCAACTGGCGCCCTCTTCACATACTCCATTGGCGGAGGTTTCTCTGTGACCCAGGCCATCCTGGCCCTCGGGTATTTCCCCGTGAGAGTCATACGGTTGTCGAAAAGGTACGCCTACAGGCGGCAACCCACGAAGAAGAGAACTTAGAAGGAAAGAGCAATAGCGTGCCTAGCTGAGGCTTCTTACGGGTAATTGTTCAATATTTTTAGGGTCGCTTTCCGTCGGGGCCTGACGCCTTATGTGTTAACATCTTTCCTCTTCGCCCTGGAGAAAGTTCGATGAGATGAAAAGAGACGTCGGCCGTCTCTTGTCTAACACGCAGGTAGGGGAGTTTGGCGAGGAAATAGATATCGTGGATATTGTGTCTCTCCAATGAGATCATGAATTCCTCTCAAAACTTGTCAGCTTAAGCGTTGGATACGGCACAGTGGAGCATCTGTGGCGCTACTAGGTGTGGCCCTTCTTCGGAGTCGTGGACGGAGATATCTAGCTAAGTTCTAGAAGTCACATACATGTTAGTTGCGATATTGGTCACGGCCCGTCCAGTCACTCTGGAAAAGCCCCCTTATATTGGTTTCAACTACCCTAACTTGTGCCCGATGTGCAACCGCGTGGACAGTATGCCTTCCTGGATTACGGCGGGCACGACCAGACCTCAAGTAGCCCTCCCGTTGGCGCAACCGGACATCGTCGGACAAGTCGATGCATCATCGACGCATCCTTTAGGGGCATCCAACCGGGCACTATGAGGCCATTAACATTTGTGTAACAAAACTTTCCGGCTAAGGGAGCTATGACTTACGCATGAAGACTGGCAGACACCAGGGGTAGACGAGCAGCAGCTAGCTCCAGAGCCGGGGTTGTTACCCTTGGGACGGCCAATGAGCTTGGGGTGCTCTGAGGAATCAGACTGCAGAACAGCGGGGTTGGCCATCGCCATGGCGGCGAAGAGGGCAGTAAGAACGATCTTAGCGTGCATGTTTAGTGTTGACACAAAGTGTTTATGAGATATGTTTCTTGTGTGGAAATGGAATGTTGTGCTTGTAGTGTGAAATGTTGTGCTTGCAACAAGTGAATTCAGACGCCCAACTCGCCGTCTTTTATGTCGGCGAGTTCGGCCTCGTCGGAGGAATCCCATCCATGCACTCGTCCATATTCACTCGTGCTTCAAAGCCCATCAAAACCACGCAGCTCGTTTCGCAAGCTGAATGCGAGCCTCTCGGGTCGATGATATCCACAAATATACAACGTTGCGGGTCGCGGAGTTTCGATGAATAAGTCCGTCAATATAATTGAGTTTTGAAGATGATCCAGGCGCGAGCGCAGTGTCAATTGTTGTCGATGTCCTGCTTTACTCTGGTTCGATCGGGCTGCAGTCTCTCTTCTAATGCTCAGGACTTGCAAAGAAGCGAAACGTTGAATAACCATTCGGATCCAGTCACATGTTATCCTCGTGATGACGACCGTATCATCAGATTTCGAATTAACTTCAATTCTCATATTAACCGCATCATTTATTTCATCAATACGGGACGAGTACGGAAGCTGAAGCGCCGCCTGAATCCACTTCGGTACCAGGCGGCACAGGAGCGTCCATCGTTCGGTCTCCGCGGAGAGCTTTCCACAGATATTGCGGACCCACCAGTTGCACTGGGCTGCCGGCCAGCTTAGTTGAACAGTTCAGAACCGGGGATAACAACCACATTGTCAATGTCTTTGCTTCGCGTTGCAGTTGTTTACAGCGACCCGGTCAAAACGATCGGGGTACAGCTTGTCATCTTTTCCGGCTTTCGGGTTCGAGGGGCATACAGCACAGCAATTCGCCCTCTGTGCTTATAAGGTTTGCCCCCTGGGCACCTATGCAAGCGACGGCCGGCGAGTATTAAAACTGTCAACCCTGGAAATCCGTTTTCTCTACAGCAAGAAAAACCAGCGCACGATTTCGTGCTCGTCCACACTCTCGAATACCCTTCCGCAACTGGTCGACGCAGCGCCGGAAGGGCAAGAGGTATGCGACGTGCTTCCCTCCGGTCGCAGATACGAAGGGCGCGGGCAGGAAGAAGGACCCAGGTAGAAAGGAGTGCGCCGGTAGGAAGGAGGGTGCCGGCAGCGGCGGGTCTTTCCAACTCCGCTCCGGGAGTTTTGCTGGAGACACCGGCTGGAGTGGGGCCCGGAACGGCTCTGCGGGGCCCCACTCTTACGAGCGGATCATCGGCCAACTTCACCAGGTTCATGTTTGGAATGAATAATGAATTAGAGAGCGTAGATATTATTGAGGTGGCATATGAAGGGTATTATAGAGTGGTCTACGAAGCCAGAGTTTACCATGTTCCACCGGGGATTGCGATCTCAGTGCCGTAAAATGCGCCCGAGGCACCACCAAGCTCCAACGCGGCGTTGATCACACCACCGAAGCCTTCTCCGGCAATCAGACCTGATTTGAGAGTCAGTTTTGTTTTATTCAGTGAATCAAGTTCTGGTTGAGGTTATCTTACCTGCGGCAGCCGCGAAGCAGTGAGTTTCGAAGTTCTTGGGGAAATACTTGCGCCACCACCAAGCAGTGATAGCTCCGAACATAATGGCATTGGCATAGCCAGAATCGGGTCCCAGAACCCAGGCAACACCGATGGACATCCAGTTGGGAAGGTAGTCCCTGTACTTGGTGCGGTTGCCCACAAGGTAGAAGTTCTTGAGGGCGGCTTGCAGGACACACACCACACCCATCACGATCGTGAAAATGCCACAAGAACGAGTAATAGGAAGTTGAGGAAGGGTCACAGCTTCCGCTACAGCGCGCCAAGCCGTTACCGAAGGCGCTGCATTTACCGGGTCAGCTTGAAAATCCAGGAAAAATGAGGGCGAAAAACCTACCAAGAAACGCGCATTCTTCTGTTGCGTCAAGTTCATGCCAGATGCATGGGTACGCAGCCATGAACAGTACGAACACTCCTGGCGCTAAGAACACGCTAACGAGTGCACCGATGGCCTGTGCGTAAAACTGCAAGTGGGGCGGGGTGCGAAGAAGGAAACCAACACGGAAGTCGCTGACAAGAGCAGTAGCCACGTCCGCAGTGCCAGAGGCAATACCACCAGCAATGAGGTTGATGCGCTGTGCATTGTGCATCTCAAGTCCTTGTCCCTTTGTGACACCGCCGAAAACCAGCTGAGAGGCCTTGGCAGAAGCAGTCAAAGGAGTGCAGTCGGTGACGGCACCTCCGTGAATGCTAAGGAAGGCAAAGAGAAGACCCAAGATACAGGCAAGGATGGCGAGGCCAGCGTTCATGTGGAACTGAATGTGGCAGACAATGCAGGCCACAACGACAAAGACAAGGGTACCAGTAGCCCAAACCCAGGCTGGGACTTGCTGGCTGGGAGGAGCAAAGTCCTCAACAAGACCATCGGCAGCATCAGCCTTAGCAGCATGCTTGGCAAGGAATTCGTTCGACTTTCCCTTGGCTTGGAGGCGGTTGTTGATGCTTCTCGCACCGGAACGGAAGGCAAACTTGGCACCGTCGAGGATGACACCAATGTGGAGGACGAACTCAGCCATGGAGTAGCACACCAAAACCATGACGCCGGGCCACAAGAACCAGTAGCGGGGAGAAGGAACCCAGTCAGGCTCATCGCTGATAGTCATGCCGTTGAAGGCGACTCTGTCGTGCCACTTGGGGTCGTCCGGAGCTCGGGCAACACCGACGGCCTCGCCGTACTTGACCAAGAGAGGGCCGACGAAGCCCCAGGCGAAGAAAGTTCCTCCCCACCAGGACCAGGCGGCGTTCAGACCGACGAGCATGCCGGAGCCGAAGAAGGCGGGGGTGATCTGGATGTACCAGCCCCAGTTCTCGATGTTCATGGCCCAGTTCTTGTAGCCGCTCCAGATGTAGAACCAGGTGAAGATGTGCCAGTTGTGGAGGATTCCATCCGCGTACTGGGACACGACAATGTGAACCAGAGCACCCACGAAGGTGTATCCGAGGGTCTTGATCTTCTTGACAGCGTCCGCAGCACCGCTGCCGACGGCGTGCATGGAACGAATAGTCAGGGCAGTCGCAGTTGCTGTTGCTCTTGTCAGCGGATGCTTGGGAGTTCAGCACAGTGAGTCCAACTTACGTGTGGGGAAAACAAGGTTCAACTCGCGAGCAACGTTGATGACGAAGAACTTGCGAAGAGGAACCGCAGCGAAAAGGCCAAAGAAGGCGCAGACGACAGTGATGGTCAAGATGCGGCCAAAGTCCTCACGGGGGTTGTCGGACATGAGGTTGAGCTGGTACATGGCCGGGAGAGCCGCGACGAAGAGACCGGACATGCCACCGGCACCGGTGGCAGATGCTTGAATGATGGAGTTCTCCTGGGGACCGAAACGGCCTCCGAGGATGGGCATGTGCGGGACCGTCTTGGCTAGGACTTGAACGATGGCATAACCTAGAGTTCGTGTGTTAGTTGAGTAAGTCTCTCTGCATCACCTGTACGGCAAGACATACCGAAGATGGCACCGAACATGGTGGCGGTGAACGAGAAACCGGTCTTCAGACCGAGGTACACGTTCGAGGCATTGACGAGAGAACCGAGGATGATACCCGTCAGAACGGCACGGATGGTGAAGGGGTTCTCCTCAGGCTCGATGCCCTTGACCTCGGGAAACGGGCTGAAGAGATCCGTGATCTGGTCGCCATCGCTGAGCTCGCTCTTGAGATCGTCAATCTGCTCAGAGTGACGGATCTTCTCGGTGACGATGTTGGGGTCGTGAGCAGGATCCACAGAGGGAATCTGCGTCTCGGCCTGGATGGGCCCGGGGATGGGGTTCGTGGCCCCCATGTTGACGAGGTTCGTCGAGGTTGGTGCTTGTCGGATTCAAGTCGGCACACCGGCTGGCTGTGCTGGCTGGCTCTAGGCAAAGAGAGACCTGGCTTGATGTCAAAAGAGAAGCGAAAGCCCTCGACGGAGGCGGTGGTCTGCAGGTCTCTTTTAAGAATTCACGGCTGGAGCTCCGAACGCATACCGGGGACCGCCGCCATGCAGCAACTGACCATCCGACCCTTCTAGGGTACCAGGGCCATGGAACTTTTGCCTCTCATGGGGGTGGCGGCTGATACCCATGGCGGGCGTCGACGACAACCAACGATCGTAATGGCGATTACCAGATTCCGCAGGTGGTTTGGGGAATCACCGAGTCTGGACGGCCGGCCGAAATCCGAGGAGCAAAAGGGCCCTGGCGTGCCAAGGCCGTTATCGATCAGCAGAGGGGGAGCCAATGTGTTCCCCAGTTGTCGAATAGTTTATTTGCTGGGTAATCTGTGAGTCGATTCAATTCCCAAGAACCACCTCATCGATTGGCAGAACAATAACCTGATGTGTCATGACTCTCTGCCCGCGACCAGTCAGGAGGCACGGAATCGGGATGGGACATGTCTCTGTCGAGCAGCCCGTCCCCATCCCTGCGGCGCGAACGTCGCAGATCAAAAGGTCCTGGGGCCACCCTTCCGGATCACAGAATCGGCTCGAGAATGGAGGGCTGGGCGGCGCGAGGTCGACCTCCCGTCCGCCGTCGCGGTTGGTCGGTGCCGTCGACCAGCGTCAACCAGCTTCCTTATCAGGAGAGGTCGATGGACCTGTGGCCCCGGGGGAGGACTCCGCTTCTGCTGCAATATCCCGGCGACAACCCCCGACTCGGACGTCTTGGCCATGCCGCCAAGGGCTCCGCCAAGCCGCCTATATATTGTGGTTCTCCCCCTCCAACTCGTCAAGTGAGCGGTGGTTGTCGGCGAGGTGCCTGTTCGCCATTCGACTGTGCCACGGCTCGGCGCAGAGAGGCAAGACATGTCAAGCACTCTTGGAAGGGCGGCCGTTGCGACGCCGTGTTGGCATTCCATTTCCCCCTTGCCAACCAAGAGAATCAAAAGTTCGACCAGAGGTTCTTTTGCAGCGCGCCCGTCTGGGCAACCTCTCGGCCGGATCTCTTGAAGCGGTTGGCAAAGGCTTGTCGCGGTTTGCCGCTGCTGTTCCCCAGCCAGCGCTGCTGGCCATTGTTTTTCCTTCGCGGGAATCGGAGAACGGCCGACAAGTGGGAGAGTTCCGAGTTTTCCCCACAGCAATACTACGCGCGCCGATTGCGGATAAGATGAGTAACGAACGTTACTCAAGGTACAGGTCGCACCCCCGGCGGCACTTTTGTGAGCACCAGCTGATCTCAGCAGCCGTGTTGGAACCCATCTGTTGGACGTGTTGAATGCAGAGACCGACAAACATTTCCACAAACGGCGCTACCGCATTGTGTTCTGTCTGATGGCTCCCTGCAAATCTCGATTCCAGACGACGGTCGACGGGCGCTTCTATCTCAAACCTGGGTCCTACACAGTGACCATCAACTGACAATTCCCACTTATTTCCGTTTCGCTGGAAATGCCTGCTTGGACGCATCCTGAACACTAGGCCTGGGCTTCCTCCAGACTCCCGCCCCCATCTGACGGCAGGCAAACGAGAAAAGGCAGCCAATGCGCCATTCCGTCCTTATCTGGAGGTAGGCCCACAAGCTTGTTGTTGGCCCGCGGTTTGCCCCGATCAAGGGGTGTTGGTTGGGTCACAGCGCGGGTTGGACGACATTCCCGCCAAGACGGCCCATATGGCCCGCGCTGGAAGACCGGGGATTTGCTCTGAACGAGGGGATGACTTTGCTTTTTTCGAATTCGCTCGGCAGGTGGGATCATGTCAAAAAGTGCACACACAAACCCACACCACCACACGCGCCCGCCATCTGTGCAGGTGAGCTCGTGACATGCGGACTTCCATACCAGCAAAGGGTAGGTGATGCGCGCGCCCTGCACTTCAGCCGCTCGCTTTTGCGCAGGTCCCTTTGGGTATGATGGGAGTCAGCGTGCGGCATCTGGATTCGCCTTCTGCTCTGGGGTGATTGGTCGCGATGATAGCCTTGCCCGTTATGGTTATCCAAGATCTGCAAAAGTTCCAGCGTCTTGGCGATTTGCGGGCACTCGACTGGCTGCCTGCTTGGACAATGAGATATGCATGACTGCCTCGGTGATTCGTATCCGAATTGGTTGGTCCAAGTAAACGATCTGAGTGTCTACTGCCAGGGCAGGCAACTTTGCGAAATGGTGGCCACCATCTTCGCCCGTCAGACGCCCTGCCCGAACTTTGAGCTGGCTGGGCTCGTCAGGATGAGACGAACCACCCATCATGAGACAAAAGATCACTGCATATTGCAGGTGCCCGTCTTGGATGTTGAATGGAGTGTTGGTCGGTTCCAGCCGGTGGGAAGCGATAGGCTGCATCTCGGGAGTTCGCCATTGGGTCGGTTCAGATCTTATCACAATCGTCACGCCACCCGTGGCAAAAGGGCTGACTTTCTTCACTTCTGATCACTTCCAACATTGTTCCTCCCATTTGATGGTTTCAGCAATGATCTGGCATGTCCAAAAATCGCATCATCAGTTGCTTTTGCTTGTCTTGGAAAACGAAACAGGCTGCACGCCACCCGTGGCGGGAGTGTCTTGCCAGATGGATGATCACTCCAGCATTTGTTCTCAAACCGATATCATAAGCTTTTCCTCATTCGCACCTTTCACTTCCAACTAAACCCATACGCCCATCGCTCTCATATCAGAAAGAGACTTGCCGATTGACTGCCCGTTTCATTATCTTGGTCATCTATCTTCCCGCGCTTGCATTGTTGGTACATCGCTCATGCCTTTCATGTAGATGAAATTCAGCGTATGCCTTTCCTCCAAAGTTTATGTGCACAGAGACCCGGTAATAGCCACTTCACCTGAATACACATCTCTTCCGGACCCCATCTGTTGTATGACATGACATTCTGGTGCCCGAAACCCTATCGATGAAAAGCGGAGAAACAGCCGGTGAAATTTGTTTGGTCAGGCGACATCTAGATGCCACCACCCGCACCTTCAACGGGGCTTGTACCAGGACTCGAGTTTTGCCCCTGACAAGCAGGTTATTGTTCAGAACATGAAGCTCTTTAGATATCCTTTTCCAGCAGTCACATTCGGACCGAGATCGTACGACGACAAAGCCTATGCTCTGAATATTCTTGACGATGTTTGTCGATTGTTCGTAGCACCAGCCTAAATATGAATGATGAATCTCGAGCGAGGCGGAATAGAAGCCGAGTCGCTAGTGCTGCTCACGGCGTTGTTCATCGCACCGCTACAAGGGTTCTCACTTGCGTAAATCACATCAATTCTACATCTAGATCATAAGACCCGCACGGAGAGATGTGATCGATAAGGTACAGATCAAACCCCGAGGTGCTTGAGACACCGACCATATCAGGCAGAAATAAGTATCCACGGTCACTTTGCCGCGAGACAGTGTATCATGATCACCGCCATTGTGATTATTTGGATCGGAAATATCAGAAACGTGGCGATGCGCACGACCTGGCTGAGTCTAAGGACAGTTGGACAGCAGGCGGATACGACATTAGCATAGAGCCAACATGCAATTCTTGCTAACGATGGCAAAGTTATTGGTACAGCAGTCGGACTAAAGACTACAGTGCCACAGCGAAGAGGAGATAGTCCACTTACGGAAAAGAGGTCTTTAGTCATGTCAAAAAATATTGCTTACTCATTCCGACACTCAAGTTGAGGTCTCGGGAGGAGCCCCTTTACTCGGGATACCGATGGTGCAGATATCCACTCCCGGCTTCGGCTATGTTCGCAGCCACGGCCCGTCAGAACTTGGGTCCGTATGTTTGACCAATGGGACAAACGAGTTGGGGCGAAATGGTTTGACTAACTCTATTGAAACACCAATGCCGATCAGTCTTGGAAGGGAAATAGTCCCAAATGGCGTCAATGAGCTGAGCTGGCAAATTTTCATCACCTGGTTTATGTTTGCCTTCTAAAGGGTAACCAAAAACCCTTAGAAATAGCATCAGGAGATTGTGTACGAGCGATGATGGAACGCAGAAGTGAAATTGTCTCGCAAAATAGCCGAAAGTTGTGACGTTGGACAATGGGTTTCACCGCGTTCCGGCTACTTCAAAAGTGTTCCGATTGGACCTTCACCGTCAGAACTCACGATGATCAAGGGCTCGATGAGGCTCTCTGTTGCTTCTGAAGTGATGTTCTGTTGACTGCAACGCGCCTGTGAAGTTACACCGATATCATTTTCGCGAAAATATTCTGAACATCATGCCACATCGTGAGGCAGCCTATGATATGTATCATATTATACGAGTGTATATAAATACTTGAGGGGTAGAGGGCCCAATATCTCGTTGATGTTCTATGCCAACAACAAGACGCGCATCAATCAAAGTACAGCATCGAGGAGCTCCAAATTCCTCTTCATCCTGCCGAACGCAGCTATCACCAACAGACCAAACAATCATGCGTTTCTCAACGGGCCTCGTCTGCCTTGTCACAACGATCTTCTTCACTCTCGGGATCGCCTTGCCAACCGAGAAAGACCCTACAAGATCCTCCGAGACCCTCCAAGTCACTCCAGCAAAGGACGAAGTCACCCGTCACTTCCGTTTCCTCAACAACATCACCCCCAGGCATGAGAATCTGAACGAGAACCTGGATTCGATCGCATCGTCGTCAAGCGCAAAAGCCCCTCCCAAATTCAAGGTCAAGTGTACTGCTCCGTACTGGTCATACTTCTATAACTGGTGGCCGTGAGTCTCCTACCAAAAATGCCCTGCTGTCATGAGAAAGGCCATGCTGACGATTGCGGAGTACCGTCAATGAGATGTGCGCGTTTACGAACAATACTCTCGACAAAGGCGGCTTTATAGGACAGTGGCAGCGCGGTGAGGCCATCGTTGGGGAGTCCAGAAACGTGACCATGGAATGGCAACCGAAGGGCGACGGCTCAGGCTGCCAGGATACCTGTACTGCAGCTTTCAACAGATTTGTCACGGAACCTTCATGTGAGTGCATTAGATCATCACCCTCAAACCATCAAAGCATGAGCAACATCGAACTGACACGATTCCAGGCCACGAGGAGGGTTTCTGGATGAACGAGAAGGGCCGCCTTGTTATTGACGGCTGCGGCGTCGCAACGTACAATCTCGAGTTCGATATTGGAGCTCCGACACTCGAACATGGCAAATCACTTTGCTGGAACGAGCCAGTTCCACCATCATACAAGCCTGACAAGGATGTCACCCGGCGCTTCTGTGAGGAGGCTGTCAGATACGTTGTAGATAAAGACAACCATTTTGGCAAAGACCAGACGAAAGTCGGCTACTACTGGACCGATTATAACCGAGACATTTGGGCTCCTGATAGCAAAGCCAAGCTGTACGATGTCGGGTTTGTGCATTTCTGGATTAAGAGCAACATTGATCAAGGATCAACATGCCCGGAGAACAGGAAAGTGGACGACGAGGTCGCAAACATGACGGTTGACCAGTGTGTCTCCAACATGGATTGGGCGGAAAATCAAGCTTGTGAGTGGCCGCCTCAAGAAAATTCATTATGACTGGAGTTGACATTGCTGACATTTGATGAATTAGGCGGAGCGCCGCCTGGCGTCTCATACGGTGGGCGATATTGGGCGGATTGCTTTGAGTGGGGGATGAAGGCTTCGGGATATGATGCAATGAAGAAGACAGATGCTAGATCGCTTATGGACGCTTGATGCGACGGTTCCTGGTAACACACATAGTTAAGAAGGTGATATGCGCAGGATTCCAGGCCAGATTGTTCCTGTTGTGGGAGGTCGTATCTTGTATTACTTTTCAGCCCTATTTTTTGTACTGCTCGTCCTTTCCACATGAAATGGCATTGTCTGATTTCGCAACCTCTTTGGCAACTGATATCATCACTTCCCGCATGGCAGGTTCAATCTTAGGACTCATATTGAAATGTTCGTTCCTCAGTCTCATCTCACGTGGTAAACGCCATTTCAAAAGTGCGAAAAGCTTAGGCAGAATCGTGAATGGGGGGATATTGCTGTTTTCATTCAATCCCAAAGTTAAGAAGTTTGTAAAATGGTTGATGCCACGGCGTGGATTCTCATTTGTAAGTCCGCTCCGCAAATCCGAAATTCCGGGACAGATATGCACGGCGAATAGGCATGGAGGAATAAGACTTGACAGCATGGATTTGGTCTCCGACAAGTATTTGCCCCGCCCGGCGAACCCACAGTGTTTCTGGAAGCTTTCTGCCGCGGGCTCCAAATTTTGGACGTTGCCAAACCCAATCGTTTGAGCCATAATTACCAATCCTGCGTATTCCCACAGGCAGTGATCGACAGTGGCCATGGCCAAGTCGAGATATTGGACAACAAAGCAACGGATCAGTTTGATTTCAGTTCTCCGGCCTATTATAACTTTGCAATGCCTCATGGTCTCCTGAGCCTCCCACCGGTTGGAAACGGCAATTGCAGATCAGTACCGGGCCTGGCCGGAGACCGTACCCCGCGGCCGGCTTTGCCGGTGGAAGTTCGATGTGAAACATCAACAACACCGGCTTGTCGCGCTTCTTCTTTGACCGCGCCCGCCGTTACCCAACCTATCCCACTGCCGACTCGGCCAATCCCGTTGACGTCAACGCAACGGCGCTGGTGCCGGGCGAGTGGGGGATGAGGGGCAAAAGAGCATTCTTCGGACAAAACAAGGAGGGGCAAATGCACCCCAGAAGTATGTCGGCTCTTCCAGCCACGCGCGTGGCGCCCTGCCGACAGGAGTTGGGACCACCATCTTTGCGGCGAAGCTCCATGTCCCCTCGGTCCTCTCGAATTGGGTTCATTCCCGGCTGACATGAGCTATCTTTTCGACTAAGGCCGGCTAGCTCATAGCTGAGCCCTCCTCAATCGGACCTTCGCACCCTTCGTCAGCTATCGGTCAGGAGTTGACCCCTCATTTGCCCCGCCGTTAAAATCCCCTGCCCCGCCTCGACCATTAGGTCGGCCACCTACCGAGACATCACGACTTTCAAATTCTTCACCTTGAGCCAATTCGCGACGAGAGAAGAGAGAAGAGACAACATATTTCAGTATACACCGGCCTCATTCTGAAGCTCACCAACATGTCTTCCAAGCTTCACCAAGCACCGCCCTTCAGGGCTGAGCACATGGGCTCCCTCCTCCGTCCCCAGAAGCTCCTCGACATCCGCGAGGGCAAGATCCGCGATCAGGGCATGTCTGAAGAAGAGGCCGGCCTGCCCGCCGTCGAGAAGGAGTCCGTTGCCGAGGTTGTCAAGCTGCAGCGCGACCTGGGCATCAAGGGTGTCACCTCGGGCGAGTACAATCGCACGCGTTTCTGGGGTCTCATGTGGGACGAATTCGAGGGCACAACCCGGCTTCAAGACGCTGAGGCCAGCATGTTCCGCCTCTACCACCCCGACGTCGTGAGCCTCATCGAGAAGGACCGCAAGGTCATGCCTGGCGACTCCGTCATTGCCGGCGCCAAGCTGGCGCACTCCGCCGCGAAGTCCAAGTCCAACCTTCACGAGTTGCAACTCGTCCAGGCCGCGCTGCCCAAGGAGGAATGGGGCAACATCAAGCTGACCATGATCACGCCTGCGTGGTTCCATATGCGCTACAAGCAGGGCCGAGCCTACACGAAGGAGGCGTACGCCAACGATGCCGAGTACTTCCAGGACGTGGCCAAGGTCTACCAGGACGAGCTTGCGGTGCTTTACAAGGCTGGTCTGCGTAACGTTCAGTTCGATGACCCGGGCATGGCTTGTAAGTAACCGCGATCTCAGAAAAGTTGATTTGCACTGACTTCGTCCAGACTTCTGTTCACAAAAGTTCCGCCAAGGGTGGGAGGAGGACAACGACAACGACGGTACCGTTGAAGATCTTCTCGACGCCTACATCAAGCTCTACAATGACAGCATCAGCAAGCTCCCCGAAGACATGCACACCGGCATCCAGTGAGTACACTTAAGCAGCGAGAAGACAGGACCAGTATTAACGAGGTGAAGTTTGTGCCGTGGAAACTTCATTGGCGGACGCCATTTTGCCGAGGGTGCCTACGACATCATCGCGAAGAAGCTTTTCGAGAACCTCAACGTCAACACCTTCTACCTTGAGTACGACACTGAGCGCGCGGGCGGCTTCGAGCCCCTGCAGTTCCTCCCCAAGAACAAGAACGTTGTCGTTGGCATCATCAGCACCAAGGTGCCTGCCTTGGAGGACAAGGAGGAGATGAAGGCTCGCGTGTACAAGGCGGCTGAGTTTGTCGCCAAGGGAAGCGGCGAGACCAAGGAGGAGGCGCTCAAGCGCATCTGCGTCTCCCCTCAGTGCGGTTTCAGCACCCATGAGAGCGGATACCCTCTAAGCCTGGAGGACGAGAAGAAGAAGCTGTCTCTGGTGAGGCAGATCGCTGATGAGATTTGGGGTGAGCCTTGATTTGGTAAGGCTTGAGGATTGTGTGCAAGCGTTTTGGGGTCGTGGAGCCGGAGGTGCTGTGGCATTCAACATGAACTCATGAGCTGTAGAATATTGCGAGCGTGTTTGAAAAGTCGATTTAGCCTTACTTCAGGATATGATATTTAAAAGCCTCAACGCTATTTGAGGCTGTTACATCGATCAAGAGTCTTAACTCTACCTTGAGTGGTTGATCTAACAATTATGTATGTTGCCTTTCGAGTGGTTTCATTGAACGGCATCAGTCATTTTTAGATGCAGAGATCTTGAGCTCTTCCATCAGTGATCAATCAATATCATTAATTATGTGCCGTCTTTTACGAGTAAGATCAGTGGGGGCACCATTGATTAATATTGTACCAGGAATAAGAGAAACATGGTTGCACTGTTGACGCCATTACAGGAAATCATTCTCGTTGGGGGTCCCCAACATCATCCGAAAAAGTGATTTAAGCTTCCATGTTGATCCGGCTTATGGTGCAAAGTGACCCTGGCATCGATCATGAGCAGAATCCCGGCTGTCATATTAAGTTTGCTAGACGAGGTCGATATGCGGACTGAGATATGCGGCGCGGCGTGCTTATCTGACTCGGAAACGGCAGGCGAAGAAAGCCAAGTACGCATGCTTGACGGCTGGGGAGACTGTGAATTGTCTGGGAATTTTCTACAAGTCTGTTTTAATGTTAACAATTTGACACATGAGCTAGACATTTATCTGATGGTGGATGTTGGTTGCGTGGCTGTGGACAGGCGGCTGATGGCGCGTGTTGAGGGCACGTTTGCGTCTGCCTAAGTCACTTCCTATCACCTGATTCAGTCGAGAGGCTCATCGAGAGCTAACAGCAGGCTTTGAAAGACTTCGAGCGACACAAAATTTCAAGCCTAGCCGTCAGGAAAGGAGGCCGCAAAATGACACAATCGGCCGTAGCTCTGACTGCGTGTGGACAAAGCATGGCCTTGGCCCTTATCACATGGGTGAGTTCATTTCGTCTTCACCGGTTTCGATCTAAACGCGGTCATTCTACATTTTCAAACGCCACGAATGAGCTGTTTATCGTGAGTAATGACAATAACCCTCCCAGAGCGACGTGTGGTCTGCGGGGCGGATCGCGGAATATGGTACCAAAGTCCCTAAACCCTGCGAGCCGTCACCGTGGCCCCGGGTTCTAGCCGCTGCTTGTGGAATGATAGTCAAAAGCGAAATTGATCGAGACCTTTGTTTCGAGGTATGATCCAATCAGGTTGGACGTATTACTGCTCAGGTGGCGGCGAAACGAACGCAGTGTGAGAGGGTTTGAGCAGTTTTCCCGATCTAAAACCCACTAGACCTCAATCACTCAAATCCTAATCGCAAACTCCGCATCAGATGCAACCTCCTCGTGTGGTTCATATTCGTATAACTAGGAAGCGGATACCTGTCGATGTTGTATCAAATAGGACATCTGCAGCCTTGGCGATCTAGCTACATCATCATCATCTAATATCTTCAACATCTTCGATGAAGCTCCATTCATTCGTCGTTCTTGCCGCGGCGGCCGGCCATGCGATGGGCGCCGGGCAAGGCCTGGTCGGTTACGGCATCACCATGTACAAACCTCCTTGCGCCTTTGCATGCCGCGATGCAATCTCTGGCGCAACTTTGAACTGCTCGACTACCGGTTCAGACGACATGGGCGGCATGTCTGGAATGTCGATGAGCGGCAGGGTGATGACAGACCCGAGTTGCTACGCTACCGACGACGCATTCCTGCAGACACTTGCTTGGTGTGTCTCGACTCGTTGCAAGAACATGTCAACTTGGAAACTCGAGAAGTTCTGGCAAGAGAATGTGGCCGGCACAGAAGCCGTTCAACCGGACCCGAAGGAGACATACCAACAGGCGCTGGAGAAGATCGGCGGTACTCCAACTGCTCTATATAACGCCACTGGGTCTCTGAATCAAACAAGCCTGGTATCCGAAGACCTTTGGTTTGCGGCTTACAATACTGATACAATCTTTGAAAATCAAGAAAGCCAGCAGGAAGGATTTGGGTGAGCAATACAGCACCCCCTCAGGCATGAATTGAGTCTAACAATATGCAGTCTGATCATACTCCTCTCAGGCATTGTCATCCCCATCGCCGTCTCGCTCCTACGCTTCGTCCCCTTCCCGACAGCTTGGCGCACCAAGTTCAACGCGTTGATCATCGATCCACCTCTATTTGGCCACCGTCATGACACACCCGTCTTCTTTGGAGTTGCCCTCATGCCAAAGCGTGGACAAGCTCTCTTCATTTTATACTTCATAGTCATTAACACCGTACTATCGGCAGTCAACTATCAGTACGCCGACCCGAACACCTGGTATCCTGGCGACGGCTGGCGTTGGATGTGCATGTTGATATCCAACCGTCTTGGACTGCTAAGTTTCGCTAACCTGCCGCTGGTATTCCTCTACGCTGGTCGAAACAACCTCCTGCTTTGGGTTACTGACTGGTCTCACTCGACGTTTCTCTTGGTACACCGATGGATAGCAGCCATAGCAACCCTGCAGGCTATCCTACATAGCATCATCTACCTGGATGTTTATATCAAGAACGGCACCCACGCTACCGAGTCCCGAGAACCATACTGGTACTGGGGTATCATTGCGACGTTGGCTCTGGTCGTCATGTTCCCGTCTTCGGTCATACCCATCCGCAGGAAGATCTATGAGGCGTTCCTCGCATGGCATATTGCCGTGGCTATTCTGATCATCGCGGGCTGTTACTGGCACATTGTCTTCGAGTTCAAACACCAATGGGGCTACGAGATATGGATTATCGTGTGCATGGCGATCTGGGCTTTCGACCGCGTGTTTCGAGTCCTGAGACTTCTACGTCACAGCGTCAAGACAGCTGATATCACGGTCGTCGACTCAGAGTATGTTCGCATAACCATCCCAGGTGTTTCCGCATCTGGCGTTGCATACCTGTACTTCCCAACTCTCACTTGGCGCGTATGGGAGAACCACCCTTTTTCAATTGCCTCCGGCATCTTGTCTTCAACTCGCTCCCGAATTGAAGTCGCCCAGCAAATTGACGGCGACATCGAAAAGATCGCCAACAGCAGCGATCGGGCCGCTGATAAGAGGTCTGCAGTCAGCCACCGTCCCGTCAGCTCGTCACAGACATCTGACAAGTCACCCGAGATGGGAATCACATTCTACATTCGGACTCAAACAGGTTTATCCTCACGTTTGAGCACTCGCAGCACAATCCCTGTGCTTGTCGAGTCTGGATACCCGTCTCACGCGCCTCTGTTTGAATCACCGCACAAAGCCCCAACACTGGTTGCAATCGCTGGTGGGGTGGGAGTAACTGCTCTTCTGCCCAGTATAGCCGGTCACCCTGGCCGCTCCAAGCTGTTTTGGGGATGTCGATCTCAGGCATTGGTGGATGATATTGAGGTTTCGGGCTTGCTGTGGAGGGTTGAGAAGGAGTTCTTTATCGGGAAGAGGATGGATGTGAGAGACGTGCTGGAGAGCGAGCTAAATGGTGCCACAAGCGAAGTCTGTGTGATGGTTTGCGGGCCAGAGGGATTGAGCGACGAAGTCAGGACTGCCTTTTCGGACATTGTGCGCAAGGGAAATGGAGTTAAAGCAAGGCTCCTTGTGGAGTCTTTCAGTTGGTAAAGCTACGCGTGGTTGCACAACATGCGACATTTGATGAGGTTTGCAACCAGAAGAGTACTTCATAAGTGCAACATTTACTCCAAGCGCCTTAAATGAGGAAGGTGGTCTTTGATAGGTATAACAGAACCTCTTAGTAATGTAACGGCCGAAACGCAGTGTGCGGCATACCAACACTGACCACATTGACGAGTTCTTGGGTACAATCAACTTTATGCCTTTCCAACTTGGAGTTTCTACTTTAGAAACCTTCGATTTTCCTCCGACAAAGCTAGCCATAGCGCTGTCCTAGTTGGGAGGCCTGGTGTTGCTGCAGATTAGCTGTATACGTTGCTATTGACTTCGCCTGCACAGCCGGAGGTTGGTTCGAGAACGTTTTGAATTGTTGCTGCGTCAATTGTGCCGGATTGATGCCGTTTATGATTAGCATCTGCTGGGCGTTTCGAATCTTCGTCCCTTCGTCGTTCGAGTCGACCTGAGCCTCTATGATAGCGGACGAATCATTAGAGACATGATCAATTGCGCTCAGGTTGGGATGTGACCGTGCGGCGGTATCGGATCTTGGGATGTCATCAAGGGATTCTGGGCTCTTGAAAGGTCGTGACTTTGTCATACTCTTAGCGTCAAGAGACTTCGATTTTGGCTGATCTGGAGGTTTGTGATATCTTTGCTTGTGACTATCCATGGCCTTCCTCTTCCGGAAAGGACTTGGATATTCGCAGCCAGGTGAGGTGCACCAAAGTATCTTTTCGTGAGAGGCCTCGTGAGATTCGAGTGCCTTCGACGATGAAAACCCAATGGAGGCCCATTTGCAAGATGTTAGACGACAAAAGTGAGTGTCAGAGCCAATGCTTTCCTTGAACTCAGCCAAAACTCTGGCATCAACTTCTTGGATGGTATCGAGACTTTTCAGAACATCGACTCTTCTTTTGTATTCGCTCAACACCTGGAAGAACACGGAATCCGGTCCTTTGGATGTCGATACGTTTTTTTTTGATTGATTAGCCCGCTGGAAGCTTCTCTTAGATACTATATGGATAGAGACTTACCTGAACTCTGCATAATCCGGTCCCAATCAGTACGGGCCTTCATTTCTCGTCTCCTTACAAGATCTATCTCGTAGGATCCACAGGACTCCGGCACGCGGGTGCCTTCAAGTGCTGTGGCGTCCATCACTTCAGCTCGCTCCTCAGCCAACGTCAAATACTTTGCCGCCATCTCTTTCGAAACCTGCAAATATTCCCGAGTCTCATTCGAAAACGACTGTTGTAACTCAGACACAGGGACAAGATGTTTCGCCCAGTGTTGACATGCGTATGGGTAAAGTGCAAAA